ACTGAATACTGTATTGCAATGGGCGGAAGATGAGAACATGGATAGCATTGATATTTTGTTGGTACGTCGATTAAGAGAACTCGCTTTTGAAATGAAAATTAAAAGTACTATTCAGAAAAAAATTACCGATTATTATACTTAAATTCTACATATTATAAACATTTTTTTTTTTTGTAATTCATTAGTTTAGTTTTAATTTAAGTTGTTTATTATTCTTATAATTTAAAATGCAATAAATATAAAGATGGTGAAATTAAAAATAAAATCTTAGTCATTTGAGTAGATAATCTTGAGAAACCTCCGGTAATCCGGAAAAATCGGTAATCCGGACGATGCTCGGTCTGAATTCGTCCGGATTATCGAGGCTCTACTGTATATTTATCCATGGACACCACCCAAAAATTACCAATTCCCCATCGAAGAACAAAGGCGGCTGAAATTTCAAATAGATTGGTTAAATCGTTTTTCTTGGCTTGTTTACTCCCAAAAATTGCAAGGTGCCTTGCGTAAATACTGTGAAATATTTGCCAATAACACTGTTGGTAAAAGGACCCATCAAAAATTAGGTGCTTTGATTATAAAACCTTTTACAAAATGGAAGGATGCCATTGAACGTTTTAATCACCATTCAACATCTGAATATCATAAGCTTTCAATCATTCGCTCTGAAGAATTTATTAAAGTAATGGAAAACAAAAAGAGTAATATTGCAAATGAGATAGATACTTCACAAAAAAAACAGGTCATTGAAAATCGAGCTATTCTTCATCCAATAATTCAAACAATAATTTTATGTGGAAAACAAAATATTGCTTTAAGAGGTAATAATGACAGTGGAAAAATATATAATGAAAGTATAGAAACAAATGACGGGAATTTTAGATCTTTATTAAGATTTAAATCATTGGCCGATTCTGTTTTAGACAAACATTTAAAAAACGCTACTTCTTTTGCATCTTATACGAGTCCTAATGTTCAAAATGAAATCATTACTATTTGTGGTAATTTAACAAGAAAATATATTAAAAAATATGAGATATGCAAAATATTTTTCTATTTTAGTAGACGAAAAACAAGACATATCTCGATTAGAACAAATGTCTTTTTGTGTCCGATACGTTGACGGTGTGTCAAACTGTATTATGGAAGATTTTCTTGAATTTTCAATTGTTCACGATATGACTGGTAAAGGATTATCTACTTCTATACTTCAGTTGCTAGAGAAATTCGGACTTGAAATAAATTTCTTGTAGGACAAGGTTATGATGGCGCGGCGTCGATGAGTTGGCAATTCAAAGGCGTTCAGCAATAAAAATCCTGCTTCACATAAATACGAAGTGTCAAATGGTATTAATATACGTAAAACTTTGTTGTTAACTTCAGGATATTCATCTTTAATACTGTTCCAAAATCCTAAAAGTGAATATGAAGAAAATTGCATTCGTAGTGAAGAATCGGATGAAATGTTGATTAATTGTTCCTCTTCTGTAGTTGTGAAATTTGTTGGTGGCTTTTCAGTGAACGGGTCTTTAATCCAATAGTACTGTTTCATTTCTTCTGGGAAATATTTCATGAAATGAGTTTTAAGATTCGTCAGATGCTCTAAAAATATTGTCTTTAAACTCATTGGTAATTCAAGGTCATTCTCTCCAAGAAAATATTTTAAAAGTGGAAAACAAGTGGTTTTGCCATTTTCTTCTGTTAATTTTCTTTTCCATAAGTTGATTTATTTAATAAAAGCAACTATCTTATCGTATAATTGCAGAATATGAGTTTCTTTACCTTGTAAGGAGTGAGTTAAATGAATTAAGTTTTTCAAAAATATCACATAAATAGGCTAATTTTATTACAAAATCACTATCAAAAAACATTTCGCTATTATTATAACCTTCTCCATTTAAATAAGAATAAAATTCTTGTCTAAGTTTGAATACTCTTGAAAGTACATTGCCTTTAGATAGCCATCTAGAATTACAGTAAAACAGTAATGATGTATGTTCTGTTCCCATTTCTTCACACAGTTTTTGAAAAAATCTTGCTTTAACAGGTCTTGTTTTTACATAATTGACTACTTTTATAACTATTTCAAGTACATAATTTAAAGAGCAACTTATATTTTGTGATGCTAAAACCTCTCAATGAATAAGACAATGAGTCCATATCATTTCTGGAGCTTTTTGTCGAATTAAAGCCTGAAGTCCACCGTACTGACCAGACATAGCCGAGCTCCATCTGTACACACGCCCAAACAGTTTTCCCATTTAATATTATTATGATCCATAAAATTATTAGTGATATAAATAAATATGCGTCTTTATTATTATCGGTTGCTTCATCAAGCTGAATCGCGAAATTGTTATTCCTTAATTTATCAATAAGCTGATCATTTATATTATTTGAGATGTCTTGAATTCGCCGACTAATAGTCCAATAGTATTATTAGACAAAGGTATATTTTTAAGTTGGTTTGCAACGTGTTTCGTGTATGGATAAGATAAGATAATCGTTTCTACAAAACTTTTATCGGACATGAAATTGATCTAAAAATAACAATACGTGTAAAATTCCAACCGCGCGCCGCGCCGCCCTTGTTGATTGCTCGCGCCTCCTTTGGGTGGCGCGCCACACAGTTTGGGAACCACTGACTTAGATTATAATAATTATAAAAATAATACATAAATACAAAAACAATTGGGAATATAATATTATAATTATTATTATACCAAATACATCGGGTTTTAATAATTAAAACCCGATGTATTTGGTTTTATTTAGGCAATATTAAAAATTTGGTAAAAATTAAAAGCAATCATATAATAATGAGCCCCTCTCAATATTTTAGGTGGGCCGGCCTAAGGCCGAACACATATTAGGGTGGGCCAGGCACACCCTGGCCCTCCTTTAGCTACGTGCCTGCACGGAGAGTGCCGGATGTACCTGGGCACTCCGTAAAACGTTGTAAAAGGGATCCTACATTCGACAGGTCTCAGAGTAAGGGTCCCGTATTTTAACTGATGTTGTTCGAATTAAATCAATTTTATTCCAAAATATTCGGTAAAAATTAAATGACGTAATAAGAAAAATAAAACTAAATTTTCTAAACGTTTGAGCAAAAACTTAGTACGATAGTATAACAGCTACAATTTATCAGAAACATATGTATCATAAATAATTTAAGCTACCTAAGAAAAATATACAAGATTCAAGGAAAACAAATTCGTTGGGACTTGTATACCACAATATTAAACGAACAATTAAAGTTATTGAATTATTATGTTAAAATCTATTAAATATACCTTTTACACGTTGTGTTAAAATAGGGCTCAAAATTGTAATAAGCACCCGCTTAAATACAGGTCTGCGCTCGCCTATGGTTATACGAAAAGGAAATGGGCAGTCAGGAATCAGTGCGGCAGTGACTTAACCAGGGCCGGCTTTAGCTTTTTCAGCGTTCAGTGCAAGAATTATTTTGGCGATCCTCCATCTTAAACGATATAAAGATATAATTTAAACAAGCAGAATTTTGGGAGCTGGAAGGGGCTCATTATACATATTATAACCTAAGCCTCATTCATAATCAAAAATGTTCTAAATAATTTTTCAAACGTGCATATTTGTTACATATTTGCAAATTATTCAGATAACAATCATAATAATACTTGTTATAATATAGTGATAGTTTATAAAACTGTAATTGTATCTATAAAAGCAGTCGATAAAATAATAAATAATGATAATCAAATTTTTATTGAATCGAATCGTAAATTTTTTTTTCTATCTAGTAAATAATTTGCATCACTAACAGTTGATCAAATTTAATTTTAATTTTGACGCCTTTCACGCGCCCTTCTAATTTTGGCGCCCTGTGCCGTCGCATGCGTCAATCGTATCTAAAGGTGACCCCGGGCTTAACATAGTATAGCTGTCATCATGAGTCCTTCCCGCCGTGCTTCAAAAGTCCCGAAACCGACGACCACCGCTGCACCACGTAGGTATCATTTGGCGTTTCCGTGGTAACGTGTTGCGAATAGAATAATATTATGGCTGATTTTATTCATGTTGTTATAGTGTTTATGTTGATTTATCGATGAAATCACTAATACGATAACGGGCCAATGTGAACATAAATACACTTTCGAGCCAACACGCTACTGTTGTAGCCGCGCTTATTTTCGCGCCGCCGTATTTACTGGCGTGTATTGATGGTTTGTCTTTGAAATCCATAACACATACCGCCTACACTCGCCGGCAAATACATCTGGGGGCTACTGCCGCCGATACCTCGCCTACAACCGATGGATAGCACGGGTTGTTCGGGTGACGACGATGACAAAACGAGGGAAAAAGACAACGAACACCGTGCAATGAAGTAAATAATATGCGTTTGTATATTACGTGCATGCGATTTGTATGACTGTCGACATGGGCTGTTTATTATTATTTTTATTTCCCCGCGATCGACACCGTCAACCACGCTTGCAGTATCGTTAGTCGCCTTTACCGTGTACATAGTCGTAATAACGTGATCGTGTTCGTTTTTTAAATCCACACGGTACAATAATAATTATTGCACGATTTTTTTTTTTCGGCGCAGACCGAAACTGAAATACTCGTTATCGTACTGCCCATCCATGTCTCGGCCGTTGGATTTCAGCGTCAAAGGTCCCGTGCCGATTTACATACATAAAAAACAGAAGGTGCTGACCGGCTGCTCGTACATAGAACTAAAACTACAGAAACACTCAAAGGTGAGTTGTTTTTTTCTCCCATCCACCGGCCTCTACTTCACGATCGGTATAAATTTTATTGTTTAACATACACGCTTTGTCGCAATATAAATTACCCATTCGTCGCACTTGCTACTACCAATCCTTCCTGTTCGCGGTATATCTGGCTACGTACGAACTGAGTCCCAATATAACCTTTTATAACGAGTCGAGTCCCGTGTTGTTTTAAGGTATATACCAATTGAGTCCAGTACAATTTTAGATATAATATTAATTGAGTCCACGATTTAATAATAACTGAGCCCCGTCAAATTAAAAAAAAATAAATAAAAAATTTTCTTCCCATTTCTACAGACTAAGGACTTCCTATAACGAAAAATTCTACAGATATAGTTAAAAATATTTTTATTTTTTAATATTTTATAATATGATAATGTAGGGGATAATATAATATGAATAATTTGTGTATAGTTAAATAGATATAGGTAATAATAAAATAACATTTTTATATTAGTAAAAATGTATGGGGTAAGCATTTTGTAAATTCAAATCTAGTTATTGTGTTTAATTGTAACAGCTGCATTTGATCTCCAATTTCTTTTTCTTTTGAATCATTTATTTTATTAATTATATGAACACTTCTAATTTTCATATAAGTTTTGCATTGTGCATTTAACAAAATGTTTATAAATTAATAAATATTTGGATGGGCTGAATAAAATATATCATTGATTTTCGAATGAAAGGATTCGCAACTATTGGTGGTCCTCACCAATGAATATGTGAATGAGGTCCACATTAATAAGACATAAGTGTAACAATAATATATATTTTAATGCAGCGCGGCATAATTTCCTCTGTCAGGACTCTGGACGGTTGATTTTATATTTTACTTAAAATAATTCTAGGACTCAGTTTGTATACTCCTACAGTTTGTAGGACTCAGTTTCCTATGACTATGTACGAGACAAAAAAAATAAATTTAACAATTAAAAAAAACTCTCAACTTCCTTAAAAATGAAACAATGGAACAATGAAAAACCTACGAGAAGACACAGCGTATAATGTTCTTTCGTTCAAGTAAGTTTGGTAACAGGTCAAAAGCTTACTCTAATGTAAGAGTCAATCTATTTGTCATCTCGTACGTTTTAAGGAAACAACACGTCATGCGGGCATGGTGTTATTTTTTTGATACATTCTTTGATCGATGATGTATACCCAGATAGCATTTTTACGATCATGTAATATAAATAATATACTGCCCAAAGACAACATAACTGGTATGCTCGCTATGTTATAATGAAACGGACACGTGTTGCAGGTGGGCGAGATAACGTTCAGAAACTATTACACAGCCAGCGTGAGCATTTTGCTACTGAGATCCAACACACAGGGTCCGACGGTGGGTTCGAGAAACTGGGAAATAGGCATTAAGAACAGGATTCTAATGAAACAACCACACTGCGAGAACGGCGCTCAAGACTATTTCTCATTGTTTTCCACGGAGGTACTTACCGGCAATGATATATTTAGAAACTTTTATTGGAGGGGGGGGGGTGCCATACCTAATAGTGAAATAATTTTAAAAATTAGTACAAAATGTTCTTTATCAACTTATTTTTAGGTTTTTTATTAACTTATTGAAATCAAACTATTAACAAACTACCATCACAAAATTACTAATTATATTATAAATTCTAGTTTTCGTTTTTTTATTTGCCAAATCATCAATAACTTCATTGGTTTAAAAGTCAAAATCTCGATGAATCGATAGCATGGCAAGGTTATGCCATATCAGCCGATAATTTCCTAACATCAGATTATTTATATACTATGTGTCTGTGAGTGCCGTGCGATCGATTGTTATTATTACTATCCGATTACAATTGAATTATTAGTATAAATATTAATATTTTTTTTTTATTATACTTTAATACTTTACTGAATAAACAAATTAAAATTATTATACTACTAATATGTTTAAAATTTGACGTTTTAAAATTTTTTTTTTTGGGGGGGAACCCCCAGCCCCCCTATAAATACGCCACTGCCTACCGGTGTAATATTCAATATAAAATAATTGTACCCTGCCATGTTTTTGCATTTCCCGTGTTTCGCTTTTGAGACGTATCTAATGATCGCGTTTCATTTCTCGGACGGCATTTTATTATTATTATTAGGTATTTCAATATAGGCTGTTCTACTGCCAACGTTGACCATAAAATGTCTACTTAATCCACTACTGCCCAAACAGTCATGTACGTATAGCAGGGGTGGCCAACTCTAATAGACTTGCGATCGACCGACCAAAAAAAAAAAAAAAGGTTGTTAATAAACAAAAAATATAGGATGTTTCAAAAAGAAAGCAGCATTTAAATCTACCATAAATTAAATTTCTTTATTTTAAAATACATAGCAAATGTATCATTCTCTTCAGGAGAAGATTTAACAGTAAAAAACAATATCTGTATTATTTCCATAAAATTTACCATCACTGGATAATACATTGCTTCATCAAGTTCGTTGAGAATACGACGAATTTCTTACTCAAATTCCAAAACATTTCGAACTTTGTTCTGGTAAACTCGTGACTTAGTGTATCCCCATGAAAAAATCACACGATTTAAAGTCGAAGAAAATGAGAAAGAGTGTTACGATCAACTCTCGATTTTTTTCTGATAATTAATATACAATCATACTTATTGAGTTTTGACCTACTATAGTATTTAACAAAATAAAAAATATCAAATTAGTAATTAATAATTACAAATATTATACCCTCAAACATTTTACGCCCGGGGATGAATCTCCGTCTTCCACTCCTGCGTATAGGTAGACGTGAATGTCCGTAAAAACTAAGGATTAATAGCTTCCCATATTTTATGTCTAACTATTTGCAAAATCTATAATTCAATTATCATAATGTTTATCTTATCTAGTAATATTATATTAACAATATATATATATATTGATATATGTATATATATATAAAGAAAAATAATATATTATTTTTCTTTCAGTATCAAATAATGTTTAATGTTATCGTACGATTCTTTACGAACAAATAATCTTTGAATAACATGCGAGTAGGTATGTAGAAAGAAAACAACTGAAAATGTTTCTATTAACAGTAGATACTGATTCAGATCAAAATCTAACTTCTCATTTAATTATTAACCATATTATAATTTTAAAAGAAAAACCGAAAGAATATTTCCCATCTTTTCCCGTTGATGAATATGATAGGGTGCACAATCATTTTACAGTAACATAAGATGCTAAATCTCACCTAGAATTAGCATAACATCTTTTAGAACTTCACTCTAACCGTTCTTTTAAATTAAAGTATAATGAATAAGTTCATCATATTCGTTCATTTTTTTGAATTTAATTGATACCGAATATTCAATAATAACTAAAAAAGTTATAAATACTTTATTATTACAACATAGCTCTACTAACTTAAGTTTTCTGTCCTCAATAATATTAAAAATAAAAAACGAACGACTTTTATCAATTGAACAAGAAATGTTTATCATCTACTCCTCCTCAAATTGAACTATTGTCAAAGCATCATGCACACTAACATTGTATACATTAAGAAACAAAATTATAATGTAACACTAATTTTATTTTATTTATAACAATTTTTCAATTATTTTATTAATATTGTATATTCCAATTTTTTTTTTTTTAAATAAATAAATAATTTGATTTTCTATGGCACACCCTATGGGAAGAAACAAAAGTTTAAACCTAGAAATAATATTTTGAAGTAGGGACGTATTCATTGACAAAAATAGGATCCTCGAATTCATAGGACTTAAACCTAAAAGTGTTCCAGAATGAAAGCATTGGGGGATTCGACTTCCACCCATTACAAATATATATTGGGGAGGACTCCCTCCAAATTTACGTTCACATTCTTTAACTAAGTATTACATTCGGGCAGGTATGGAATAACGTTTCAAAACTAAAAATCATACTCAGACAACCATCGCCGATGTGTAAGACGTTCCATTTAGAAGAAATCAAACTGTACGCGGACGTGCCGCGTTTTGGAAGACCGTTCTTCGAGGTAAAATAGACATAAATTTCAACCCCGGCGAATTAGATAAAATATTATTATTATTATTACTATAGTGGGCTCTATTGTAATCTGTATCAATATCTTCTCATTTCTAATACTTACGGGATTAAACAAATTGGGAAAAAAGGATGAACTTAATAAGTTCAACTTATATTGATCGCATACTAATTGTAGTCGATTACATTTATTTTTGATAGTCAAAAACTGGTTTTTTAAAAAACTCCCTAAATTCGAAACACTAAGATTTGCAGACGAGTTAATATTAAGGATTTGATGCTTAGTGAAATGTTGTGATGGTTCGTCGAACTGTTATTTTTAAGATAATTGTTACATCCCACTAAAAGCTTGCGATTAACCAAGAACTGTTTGACAGTAAATTAACTTACACAAGGGGATGCCTCACAAAAATGTGTTGTAAGACCGTTATTTACACACAAGGAATTTCTCATTAACATTAAGTTGAGCACTATATTTAATCACTTTTTTTTATTTTGTTAGATTTCTAATTATATTTGTTTTATTTCTAAAGCAAAAACTACCTTTATACCTAATAAACAATACCACAGCAGCTATAACATGGAAACCGAATTCAAAAACAAATGAAATGTCATCCGTATACAAATCAGATATAAATAAGAAAGTTAGTAATGTAAAATTGATTATAAACATATAAAACCTATTATTAAATCATATTATGTTTCAGACACAGTTTGGTTATGTAGTTGAACAAGTGCCAAGCAGTTATGACAGTTCAAAAATAATATAAAATATAAAAACCTTTAGAAAAAGATTTATGTCATCAAACTATAACATAAATATATTTAACACTGATAAATTATAATAAAAACATTTTTATTGCAAAATTATTGTTATGAGATAATAATAATGATTATACTTGAACATTTGAACTATTACATACATATTGAATGAAATAAACATTTTTATGATAAATGACAAAAATAGTTATAAATAATTTTAATAAATGTATCATCAAAATACAAACTGTATAACTTTGCAGACAAAAGACAGCACTTTTTTAAATATCAAACAAAATAAAATGAATATCCTTTTTTCTATTATTATTTTTTAAACTAATAAACACAAAAAATAATTCACAAGAATAGATAAGGAAAAAAAACTTTTATAGCTTTTCAATACATTTTTGAGATTGAAAAATCCCTCAGACTTGCTATTAAATTCGTCATTAAAAATTGCTTTAACGATCACCAAATGAGCTTTACAATGTATCACAGGTTTATCACTTGATAAAAAAAAATAAAAAAAATTCTGTTATATTAAGTTAAATATTTTTAACAATTTGTAACAGTTGATTATTTGAAATTTGCATTTCAAATTAAATAGTTATCCAAAAATAATGTGGTTTTGTAAAATCTTGAATTCAATTTTAAACTATAAATATTACCTATTACACTAATTAGGAGTGGATTGAACTTATAACTAAGATACTGAATTTATAGTATTTATTTATACTGAATGATATATTTTAATTTTGAATTTAATCTATATAGAAACCTATTAGATTTATCAATCATGATGAACACAATATTTTAAGATGAAATAAATAAATATAAATAAAATAGGTTCTTTTTCATTTCCATCAATTCAACCTGTTTTGTAGTATTTATTTTGTTATTTTAAGTTGAAGACTATTGTCATTTTGATTTAATTGTAAAAATTATCTGGTATCCGGTTAATACTGATAAAATAATACTTTTATAACTGTAAGTACGACGAGAAATTAAAACATTAAGGCGTTGAATATAGTTAAAGAAAATCTTATGTACAAAAAAAAAAATAAAATATGCTAGGACTGAAAGAACATTGAATATTTTTTATTATGATTGGTTTATGATGTTGAATATGTTTGTCGTCCAGCTAACTCTAATAAGTATCTATCTGGATGATCTAACCATTCTTTAGATGTCATTTTTAATGTACGGTTCTTCTCAGCCTCTTTGATTTGCCAATTTTTTATATCCAACTGTATTTCTCTATGAAAAAATAAATTTTATCAATAATAAAAATTCTTTATAGGGTTTATTAAATGTAATCACTAATCAATCAGGAAAGCAAAAATTTAACTTCAATAATTGTGAAAAAACAGTACATCGAACTGAGATAATACAATTTAAATCAAGGCTTAAAACCGTTCCTAATAAAGTAGGTAATCGGCTCCGATAGGATTTATTTAGAAATTTCATATCTAATAAGAAAACTGCGAAAATATGTAATCAAAATTTGATAGCATCACCTTAAGATATCTATTGGTATCACACATTAATTATTTTAGAAGATACGACACGGCACGGTGTAGTGAGAACCCGGCTTAAGGTTTATTGATAATTGGTTACCTGTTGAAACCGGTTTTTAAAAATCATATTTTTCAATTTTTTAATCATATTTTCGTAACAGTTTATTTAGGTGATTCGTAGGTTGATAATATAATTTTTATTACAAAATCAAAAACTTAATATGCTTTAATTTGGTCGATTTCACTCAATTTCAATATTTATTTTTTCAAACCGATTTAAAGTTTAAAACATATTATGATAAAGATAATGATAATCAAAAAACTAAATTAGATAAAAAAAAATGTATTGTTATAATTTTCTTACTTATAACGGTAAAAAACTGAAATTAAATATAATAATTTTTTAAGATGATACTCAGATTTATACATTAGGTTTGTTCGTTTAGGAAAAAAAAAAGTATACACTGATTAGTGTAGTGTCTGGGTGAAGTGTAAGGGGTGTGGTGATTACCCATTTACAAAACAAACGGTTTTGGTGAAGATTAATCAGCTGATCTTTTTTATCAGTTTTAATAATTGATAATAATTTATTTCTATTGGTAGTAGAATTGAACAATAGCTATGTAAACTTTTTGTATAAAATTTAATATTATTAATTAACAATTATAATATTAAAAGAAATAGAAATACAAAAATTGCACGTAATGGAGTTTTGTGACTCTTCCGATGACGAAATATTGTTAGAGCTGTGGACTCCTATCAAAATCCCAGCAGCTGTGTATGTAAAAGATGACGACAATAATGGTTGTTTAAATTATTTTATTTATAATCAAATATATATAAATATAATAAAATATAATAATATAATATAAAAATATCATATATGATATATATTTTATTGTTTTTATAACTCAACCTCAGTATTCGTGAGTCCAAATATTATAAACGATTATAACAGTTGGTATTTGGTAAGTCGTGTTTCGACACTTATTTGAAATTGCAGATTAAACTATTAGCTGATAAGGCTTAATTTGATAACGATCAACGCTACACTATAAACGTTGTGCCTACACTTACACTTGGGTCAGTGTGAAAAAATAGTACACTAATATTACACTTTTTTAAAACAAACAGCGTGTAAGACTACACTTTTTCACAAAACAAACAAACCTATATATATATATATAATATTCACAACGGATAAGTAATACTCAACGGCCATTAATTGGGGAAAAATATTTAAAAATAGCTGGAAAATTAAATTCAGCTATAATAGTATAATGTAATCATGATATAATTCAAGTATTAATACTACAAAAAAACCATTAATTATTTTAGTCGGGAATAGGTTTTAGTTATAAAACCGGGATTGAAAATACGAGGTAATCGCTTTGATGTTAATATTTAGATATTTACCTTGTTTACCGATAACCAATAACTACTTCCAGCATTCCAATACTAAAAGTGGTTATCGGTTTACGGTTCTCAAATTCACGGTTTTTTACCGATTTTAAGTCCTGATTTAACGAATGGATCTTTGCAGGAAAAAACTCCGGGTCCATGATGTCATTAGTCAGTGTTATCAATATTATTCTTATCAAATGATTCGGAAATCCGAACTTAATAGCATTGATTATAAATAGTATTACTAGTACTAGCATAGCATTACCAGCATTTTTTTGAACAATATGCCTAAGTTTTATTATGGACTATATCTGTAAACTACACAAGTGATTAGAAAAGGAATTTAGAAAAACATTGGTAATAATTACAAAATAATAATACTGAAAACATTGAAGTGTTTCTGCTGTACAGTTGTAGGTTCATTATTGAGTAAGTATAACTGTTATTATATTAGATCTATTAGAATATGGTTTTAAAATTAATTTGTAGAGACAAAACTGTCAATAATGTACTTAAAATTAATCAACAATTAAGCATAAAATTATTTTAAAGTATACATTATATAAAATTACTTTCTACAGTAAATTATAATTGTTAAAAAATATTAAATCACAAATAAGTTAGTATAATTATATAGTAATAAAAAAATATTATTTAAATGTAAGAGTGATCAAACTTAGATTTGCTTATGTTAATTACTTCATCAGTACCATATTTTAGAGATTTTTTAATAATTAATTTTTCAGCAGAGGACATAGTAGTAGTTTCCAATTTTTTTTTTTTTTTGCATAAAACGCGTTTGTGGTTCTATTTTTCTTTTTAAATTTTTCTGCGTTTTTTTAAAACTCAAGTCTTTATTTTTAGCAAATATATCAAGTATTTTGTCACAGTTTTTTAGAACATTATTTTAAATAAGAAAATAAATAAATATTCCATTATCGCGTAATCCGTCGTTGCAGATTGTACAAATTTAAACAAATGCCAAATTGCCGCGCATTTAATCAGCATTATAATTGATAAGGACAATATTGATAACACTAACTAATGACGTCATGGATCCGGAGTTTTTTCCTGTGAAGATCCATTTGTCTGATTTAAATATTGTTAAGAATAAAACTAATGAATAATATCTCATAAAATAAAAGTCCATACCTATTTTTTGGTGAACCACAACCCCATACTTCTATGCTTTCCAACTTGTATGGTATACCACAGTGCGTTACATGTTGAAATGAGTCATCAACTTGAATAGATGGATTTCTGGGGTCACTACCAGCTCTTATGCCTTTTGCATATCCACGTATTGATGTGTTTAAGTACATTGATTTTGGACCCCCTTTTAAATTGATTTTTTAAAAAAAAGTTCAAAATCATAAAATTACTACAGATACTTACGGTTAATTACTTTGTAATAGGGCAATAACTGCAAAATAATGGTATCATCTCCACCCCAATATTGGTGCGATTCACGCCATTCAGTGGTGGCACCCATACAAAATAAGACACCTTCATCACCTCTTAAGAATGTTAATGTAGGCCCCCGATAACTTAGAACGTGGTGTAAAAATCTATATTAAGGAAAAAAACCCAAAGTTAATAATTCTCAATTATTTTGTGAAAGCAGCGCACAAACGTCCTTTAACGTCAAGCGCAAAGCATAATTATGAGCAAACATATACATTTTGAAATTTAAATAAAATATACAAAAAAGTTACTAGGGAATAATTACCTATTACTTCCGATACCATGTTGATTGCTGTTGTACAATAGGGTCCAATGTGATGGACAAGAAAAGTCCAACTGTAATAGAAATATAAAACATAAAAGCTCGGATGCTTTCAGCTTGTTTTCTATTACCAATTTAATAACAATTACCCAAACCTAACTGCTAATTACGCATCTAATTAAATTAACATTATTGTAAATTAAGAATAATTCTATCGACAGTAAAATTAGTATCTACTCATGTTTAGCTATTCACATCAATTAATATTTCGGCAGAGCCAATTAAAACTTAAAATAATTATCATTCGTTATAAATTAAGTTTTTCCATATATAATTAGCATCATTTGATCTCAAATTAAGTCTACTATAAAAATAACAAAAAATATTTTATTTCACTATTGAATAATATTTATTTTACTTGTATTATCACGATTATTTTAGTTTACGATCCCCTATACTGCATGATAACGATATCTTCGTGAAATGTAAATAAGTTTTATTCTAAACTACAGTCTACTATTAAAATAGGTTACTAGAATAATTTTCGATTAATTCGTTTATCTAATAAAATAACTCAAGTTACCTTGAGAAATGAGTAAATACTAAATACCTATATATAATTGTGTAGCGTGTACTTCGTATACTTCAAATATATATAGTAAAAACACGAATGACCTACATTAGAGTAAAATCAGTTTTCATTTTGTTACTTTTGTTTAATTTATAAAACTACAATCATGTCTACCTATCAATCAAAAAACTGATTATTTTTATATAATTTGAACTCAATTGGCAAACTAACACTTTTTCAGCCGCGCCTATCTACTTCAGTATTTTATAACATTTTCACTTTTAACATTGTTTTCTAGTAAGTGTAATGCATGTAACATTTATTGAGGTTCATTTGTGTGAATTGTAAATTATTTGAAATTAGAGTTGAAAATGGAATAAAAAACTGCTCATGGTAAATTGTTTTTATTTTTAATGAAAATTAACCCACGTAGCGGAAGTATATATCATTGAGGTTTAAAAGTTGTTTTTACGTCACATTTTCTACATTAGAAGTTATAGAATTCAATTGTTTATTATTGTTTTTTTTTTAATATTATTTAATACTTTTGAAAATATAATTAATTCGATTGCACTACAAGGATTCTTGACTGTAATTGAGAGATGTAATTTTTAATTTATTTGTAAATATGTAATTAATAAAATGGTAAGCGTTGTTAATCAGAGCATAAAATAATAGATTATTGAGAAATATCATTAAAATATTGTCATGCGTAAAATATGTAATTTAATTTACTAAATCTAGACTTAAATTTGTTTACATAAGTATTTCACAAATAATGAAATGAAACATAAAGCTACAGAAAATATTTAAGACCTAGACGGGTAAATGTAATTAAAAATCGCTCAATATCAATAGTCGAAAAGAGCACTTTGAGAATACATTTATCTATCCACAATTATAAATCTTAAAACATTGATATATTTAAATGTGACTATATTTACCATTAAATAAAATTTCTTTATCCAACTAGAAATCAATGAAAATTATTTATGTAGTTTTTCATTTACTTATCAAGGACAATTGACAATTGACATTGACCTTAACGGTTCAACAGTATATCATGGTCACATTTATAACTAGCTCAATAATGTTTCTTTATTGGAAATATATATATATATATATTTTTAAAAAGTAAAAATATTTTTTTATGATCATAAATTTTATAATTCACGGAAACAATCATCTATTTGTTGGAGCAAATCAACAGATGTGTATATATTCACATTAAAAATAAATACATTAAGGTGCATACATAATTTAAGTATATAATTTATAGATATATTACAAAATAGTACTTTAATAAAATAATACATAAATCACGGGATTCACGGGTCAAATCTTAAAATCCTTGAAATGTAAAAAATGAAATTTTTATCGTTTTGTCTTAATATTGTGCCATACAAAAAGTTATTTAATGTATAACGTTACAACACAACACTATATGGTACATACTGTATTCAAATCATGCATCAACATAATTTAATTTAATCATTTTTATAGTAAAATAAATATAAAAAAAAAAAACATTAAAAAAATAAATAAATTAAATATAAAAAAATAAGGCTTTAATAACCGATCAACTAGAGAAAATTAACTTAATAGTAAAAAAACAATTAGTATAATGTTTAAATCATATTAAAAAAAAAACAACTAACGACTTTATTGTTTGGTTTCCAAATCAATTACTTGTAATTATATATTTTTATTGCAACTTCATTTACTGATATCTACACAAAATTATTGTAAAATTTTAATTGACCAAAAATCCAACAAATATAATAAATAGATAGATAAATAATTTCAAACCCTATGATTATTGAAATAAGTAAATAGTGAGTAAATCTTATTTCAAGTGTTTCACTGAACATATTTTATAACCGTTTATTATAATAAGGGCTAAAATTTTGATGCAAATGCAATTTTTTTTTCTGATGTCCCAACACATTAGTCCGTAAGAAAAAAATGAGTTTCAAGTGATACAGATTAATTTAATGTAGTTTTTATTTTGTATTTTATTTATATTTTATGACTAATTTTACTTTATATGCATTAATAGGACATTGTTATTGTTTTTAGATGATTTTTCAAGTTACTAGAGAATCTGTCAGAATTTATCTATAAATTCTTAAATATTAGGGTATTTGATAACGCGTTTCAGCATTTACTCGCTCAAAATTTGCATGTTAGTACATGTTTAGAAGGAATCTAGTTCATTGATTAACTAATAAATACAACCATGTAGACCCATGTTTCTAATTTATCAAAAATAGAACAAAATTATATGGTCAAAAAACATTTTTCTATTTAAGAATCCAAGGACAATCATAACAACAAGTTTTGAAATAAATAAAGTTTTTAACACATTTTTTTTAAGTCCCAGTCCTATTTATAATAACAGATATTTAAGGTATTAAATTGTAAAACATAGATGAATTGGTATTAATTTATACTTCAATTTAAAATAATTTTGTGACCACTTAATGTTTATTACTTTATAAAATTATATAATTGCACTTATATAAGACCAATACCAAAAAAAAAAAAAGAAGCTAATTTAAACAATAAATTTTATAAAAACCAGTGGCGGCGCAATGTGGGTTTTAATGAAGCACAGCTACTTCATGTAAAAAGGGGTGGATGGATAGGTAGTTGTGTGAGAAAAGTTTAATACATAATTTGCAACATATGATACAAATATTATTATATATTATTTTGCTTGGACACGTTAATTTTTATATATGTATACCTAAAATTATGATTGAACTATAAACTTTGACTTGGGGTGGGTACTCATTACACATAACTGCTTCATTGAAAAATAAATTTTGTGCCGCCACTCATTAAAATGTTTTCACGGTTAAAAATTAATTTTAATAATTTATTATAGACCCAAAAAGTGCAATATAAACATTAAAATCGTAATGGTACCTAACAAAGGTTTGGGCACTGATTTACGACCAAATTTAAGATAGTAACATATTATATGTTTACATATAAGAGGTATAACGTAAATATGACTACATAATAAACTTTATAGATACATTCAGTGGCGTAGCAATCATATTTCAAATCCTAAGCAAATCATTTAAAAATTGACTCATTCCCTCTCCCCATACTACGTAATAAATATGTATATAACTATTCAATTGTACTACCTATAAGATTTTCCTTAATTCCTTTCAAATACCTAACCTATCTACCATATGTGCATATTAAATTATTTTTCAATACATACAATTAATTTAGTTATTTAAATGAAATATGTTCATAAATACATGAGCCAAGAAATACCCAGCTCCTTGATAGGTTTCTAGGGCTCAACTATTACATTAGTCAAATATCGTTAACCAAGCCACTTATCTCATAACAAGTAGGTTCAATATATTAATAATGGAAATATTAAATACATTTTATTGGTAACACATACAAAGGCAACATTTTGTTTGTGGCTCATCGAAGAAAAAATGTTGGGCATCACTGCATAGAGAAAGAAATGGTATAATTTAAATTTATAAGTGTATTGTAATAGTATACTGTATACGATATAATATAGATAAAATAGAAACGATTGGTAATATTCGAGTTATCATTTTACAAGCAAAATTTGTTGTTCACCACCAAAATGCAATTAATAATAATGGCAAAATGTTATTTAATTGTTTTCTTCACAAGTTATACCGTTATTAAAACTGGTTTTAAAACAGGGTTACCAACCGACAGAAATTTTGTTTGAAAATATTATTTTACGTATTTTAAATATGAAAGATCCGAGTTTTAGTAATCACTCACTGCATGGTGAAATTCATCTACAACTTTCACGTGGTTAGCCAATTTATCAGTTTTCATTTATTGATGAACATTAAGAAATTTTTTTTTTTAAAAATATATTAACCAGTTGATCTAAATGTTTTCATTTTACTCACTTTTTCGTAATAAATTAAAATGAAAATTAATTTTTTTTTAGGCTTATAAAGAAAAATAATTATAAATAAGATATCTATTTTATGTACATAAATTAAATTACTTATACTATATTATTCAGTTTAAGTATTTAATATGTGATCTTAAATAAGATATCTACTTTAAGATCACATATTAAATACTTAAACTGAATAATATAGTATAAATAATTTAATTTATGTACATAATTCAAATTATCTGAAACAAAATTATCATAATTATATCCGGGAAAAATAAAATCCTTTGAATTAGTAATATCATAATAAATACAAATTTAAATAATTAATACAGGAGAATTTATTAATAACAAGACTGAAAATGCCTCTACGTCTAAGTATTATTGACTTAAATATTGCCAATAATTAACTTGTAATGAATATTTTAACAATAGTTAAATTTTAAATTTATTAATATGTATTGTGTAGATATTATTCATTATACTATTTTAAATTTTTAATAATGTCAAATAATATATTGATTTTAAAATTTTGGTTTGTCATTAAGCTACAATATATTGGAAATATAAATATCTTATAAAGGATATTTAAATAAAGTTATATACTAATATCTAATACCTTAAATCTAGAATGATAGAATCAATACTCAATATTTAATTTGATAATTTTAGATACTATATTAGATATTTTATTCAAGTTATGAAGCTTTCAAAATTTTAAGCTATCAAGTTTATAATAGTATAATTTTTAGGTATAATATTTATAAATATCTATCTGTATAGTAAAAAATTTTATTATAGTAGTTAATATCAAAATAATTATTTTAAATTAAGAAAACTTTCCCACGTTAATTGTTAAAATGATAGTTAAAAACTTACAAATTTTGATAAGAAGTTTTGGGTGTTAAAACAATTTGGTGTTGGTTTGGAATGCAATATTGGTTGAGTATATAATGCTGGTAATGTTGTAGATAATATCCAGACTTGAGACAATGGTAATAATGGATTTTTTTCTGTTTTGAATTCATTTTCTTTTTCCAGAACTGGTGTTGTCAATTCGAGATCCTGTAATTAAGTACAACCAATTAAAGTTAAATTAAATAACAAAAAACTTAGAAAAATTTACTCACATTAGGTTCGTTTTCCTAATGAGGTAATAACAAAATAGAATTTAATTAAAATTATTTTCCCCATATAAAAATGAATCTTAATAGTTACAAGATAAACAAATTTATACTTGCATTAGGTTTGGAATATGGGCACTTTTCAATGACAGATCTGTAACCAGTGGATAAAATGTGAACAATATACCGATGAAGTAAGACAATTAATCGAGGACAATGTTGTAGTATCCAATTGGTCAAATAACCCACTTTTAACGTTAATTTTTTATGAAACTAGAAATTAATTAAAATGATTATTTAAATATTTAATGAAGTAAATATTAACTTACTGCAGAGTCAACAACAGCTTGAATAGTCTTAAATATATAACGACACGACTGAGGACTTTCAGGATAATGATCCATCGCAAGTTTATAGACAGCTAAGAGAAGATCTCGAAATTGATCTTGATCAATTTCTTCTTTTCCGTCAGCATACATCTAACAATCAGTCACAGTATAAAAAAAGGATACACTTTTGGGGCTTTGACAAAAACAATTAAGAGTTTGCATTATTATTATATATATATTTATATATTTAAAAGTTAATACTTATCATAACATAATTTGAGTAAATAATTTTAAGTTTCTAACGAATTAAAAAACATTATAATTTCATGTATAAAAATATTTTTATTTTCATTTTTTAAGTATTTTCCAACTTGAAGCATCATCATATGATCTGTGGAAGTTTTTTTTTTTTTTAGAAGACTACAAAAAAAACTTATTCCTCCATGTGCTAAAATATATGCAAGCTATTTTTACTTACTTTAAACGAATAAAGAACATTTATATCTCATTAAAAACTGACCACAAACATTCAATATTTTTATATAAAATGGGCTTGAAACTATTGTATAATAATTTAATCTTTACAATACTGATAGTAACATAAAGCTGTCAAAAATTACTTATTTAGCTAATGTTTCACACATATATAAAATTCAAAAAAAGTTTAAATCCTAGCAAACACTCGCTTTATTTATTAAATTACTTATAATATTATTTTTATATTATTAACTCATTTAAGTTTTATAAAAACAATGTATTCATATTACATATAAAAAGGTTTTAAATATTTTTCTGAGTTTATAGAATTCTTAATACAACAAAAGAAGTATTATAGATGTATATCACTATACCTTACTTCTCAGGGTGATCAAAATAATTATCTGTTCATATTTACTTTTATTATATTATATAATATTTATTTTTAAAAATCATGGTACTTGTAGAATTTTCATTATACATAACTGATATTATTTTAAAAGTGTATAGATATTATGTATCTAATTTATCAAAATATTTTTTTATAGATATTGTTCAATGTTAAATTTATAAATAAAAATTCTATACATAAAACCTCTAGAATGTAAGCCATAGTTTATTATCTTTCATTAAAAATTTAAATCTTCCATATATTAAAAAAAAAAAAAAAATGAAATTGAATTCAATAAATGTATGTATAAAATCATTAAATAAAGAAACATGTAAATAAAATAAACAAATTTTTAATTCTCTGATATTTAATAGTCACAAGTACATAGTATACACTGGTCTATGAGGATAAAATTGATAACAAATATCATTATCAATAAAATATCCAAATAACCGTTGAATAATTCAATTTAAAACAGTATAAATTACATTCAAAGTAATTAGTCAAATTTACAATTATGGTTTTTATAATCAGAATTTATTAAATATTGAACATTCCATAGTTAACCTTACAAAAACATATGAGATCAAAGTCCTATTACATCTTAAGAATTTATTTATAATTATTCAATTAATTAAAACCGATAAAATATACTATCTATATTCATTATCATAATGTATTATATAAATTATAGATTGAACAGTTAATAAATAATAGAATATGATTTTAAAAGATGGTTTATTAATATTTAAATTTATTTAGAATATATATGAGCAGTATTTTTTTATATCTAAGTTATTTTATGTATTGTCAGAGCAATGGTTTTATAATACAATTATTTCACTAATATATAGTAAAATTAGTAATTAGTATTTCAATATCATAAAATTTATTTTTTTAAATTTAAAACACTTAAAAAAAACATAGGTCGAATAAGTGTTTTCAAAATAAAGAAACTGCACAAATCTAATGTAAATTATTCAACAATTGAATTGTAATACTTTTAAGATGTAACCTAATCATAGGCGTGCGCACGGGGTATGCACAAGGTATGCCGCTGCATAGTCTGCGGCTTCATGTGAGGGGCCCATATTTATTATTAAGTTAAGAAACTTTAAATTTAATTACCGCCACAGGAAATTTAAATCAATTAAAGCTTGATAGTAATGATATTTCAATGTTGAAGGAAAAATTTAATTTGAATACTACATTTGAGTCTGAAATTAAGCTCATTACAAATATGTCTGATAGAACTTCTATTAGAGGGTTATCAACTAAAACAATTGTAGTATGGCTGAATTGGTTACCAGAAAACGACCGGAAAACAATATTTTCAAACTTCAATAAAGGTTTAACACAATTCGCAACAATACCTGTGACAAGCTGCTCGTGTGAGAGGGATTTTTCTAAATTATCTATTGTAAAGTCTAAACTTAAAAACACTATGTTACAAGAACGTCTTGATTCACTGATGTTAATATTTATCGAGCAAAAGATGGCATCAAAAATCAATATTGAAGATGTAATAGATGAATTCAAAGCATGTGTGCCAATAAAAAGAAGACTTGAACTTTAGATTTTAAGTACTCTCCATAAAATAACAACATTTTAAACATGTTAAAATTATTCAAAAGCATTCAATATAGTACATACTTGATCTTAAATAAATAATAAATTTTTTTTTAATAAATATAAATCAAATTTCAAACTACTTATTTCTACAGTGCATTGTTTAATATTCTACTGTAAAATTATGTGTGATTTTAGATTCTAAGGGAAGTAAAGAAGCTACGTAGTATATATGCAAAAACTTAGATTGTGACTTGAATCTTATATGCGTTAAAAAAAAAAATGCAAATAAATTAAGGGAAGATTAGAAAATTTATTTGTGAGGGGCCCTATATTTCTTATTGCATAACCTGCGAATAAAGTCTGCGCACGCCTATGAACCTAATGATATTGAAGCTGATTGTGATGTAATAGTAATGAAATATTTAAGTAGATATCGAAGTTAAATAAACCTAAGCACACAAGAATCAACTATTAATAAAATAATTTTATAATACTAAACTTAATTTATCATATTTCATATAAGATAAATCATAATATGTAAATATTTTACTGTGATATTTTTCTAACTTTATAATATGACATTGAATAATTAGACTTTTACTGTTAAATAGGAATAGTTATTTAAATAAACACTATAAAATGTATCATTAATGTATCATGATTTATTTATATATATCACATTTTCATCAGTTTAAATATGATATATTTATAATAATAATTCGGTCCAATGTTATAATAAATTGTACATATCTATAATTATCTAAGAGTCGAATTAAAACTATTTCTAGGAAGCACCAATCAATTTTTTAATATTTTAAACCATATATATAATGAACTGATTACATTTTCTAAAACTTTATTTAAATAAAATATTAAGACAGATTGTAAAAACCAACGAAAATCAATTTAAAAAGAAAATAATTTCATATCATTAGTAATTAGATAATTTTCCATTAATATCTCAATCAGAATTCAGGCATTATTTATGCACTTAAAACATTATTGATTAAAATCTACCTGCTTTTAGTTTAGTACATTCAAACTTTTCAGCACAAATATTTAACTAATAAATCATGCATTTGAAACGTGATAATAATATAACATGGTATTAAAAAATTGGATGATAACAGTTTTTAAAGAGTTCAATAAAAATTATAATTGTTTATAACAAGTATGAATCATTCAGTATCATGGATGAATTTAATACAGTACCCGTATAAAGGTTAAAATCGGTAGGTTTAACATTTGAACTAAATAAAATTTTAAAAAAATTTACTAAAATGTTAATTAACATTTGACTACTTTTATATTGTCAATTTTTGTGAAAATAAACTGTTAAGGTAATGAAAATCATTAGGTAAGTTTACCAGTTATTTAGGTTAACTATATAGTTGATATTAGGACTATATTTTAGTATATTTTAGATATAAATTAATATAAATTAATTATAGCGCTTTTTAGTCAAAAATTAAAATAACAACTATGTTCAATAATAAAAAAAAAAAAACAAACAGATTATTTTGCTACTAATTTTAGTATTTTTAGTTTCCCTAACTTATAATTTAAAATTAAAATGTGAATACATTTATAGTTAGTATTTGTACAATAATAAATTAAAATATAATATTTAAAAGGTACACAATATTAAATAATATATTACAGTTATTAAAATTAATGTATTTAACAAACCAACTCAAATACTAACCATGAAATTCAAGACTTGGTTTTTCAAATAAAAATAATTTTTAAGTTTTTTTATAAATTTAATAAATTATAATTCATATTTTAACATATATTTAATTTTATATGTATAGATTTTAAGTAATATTTCAGTTAATTAATTTATTTTTAACTAATTATTAGTTTAAATTATATAATAATTATATTTATTTATATATAATCAAGACCGTCTTAGGCTATACAGGGGCCCATTGGCACTTGGTGCTTAGGGTAAAGATGGAACTGTATATAATATAATGAATATAGTGCATAACCAAATTTCTGTCCCAGAATTTACAAAGGTACATATTTAGATATTATTTAATGGAAAATTGAATCAATTCTGCTAATTGCCTTAAATATAATTGGTTAGAAGACAAATTTTTGCAAGTGATCATTTACAAAATTTTCAGGTGAATCATAAACACAAAAAAAATAAATATTTTAATAATAAATTCAATAGTTAGAGAACATTTTACAAAGGTAGTTAGCAAAATTGATACATTTTTCCATTTAATAACATTTAAATCTTTAGTTTTGTAAATTCTGGAGCAGAAAGTTGGTTATTGCATCAATAACCAATATTTCAAAATAATAAAATACATCTCTCTCTCAAGAATCAGCAACAGATAGTCATGTACTTATGAAACAATTGATTTGCTTTCTAACAATTTTTATATAATATAAATAATAAATCTTTATTGCTATTCAACATTTGAAAGATTCATTTTATTAATACATATTAATTAAATTATATAAATTGTAAGTAGTCTTTCTGATCCGATCATCGCTAGTCCAGACAATTTATATTTCGTACTTTAGTACTTATGTATTTATGCATACATGTAAATATTATATAAAAATTATTTATGTCAATATCAATTGTTATCTACTATAAGATGTATATTATTGATACATATATACTAATTGATATATATATTTTTAGGTTTATATGTATGTACATAATATGTATTTATAACATAATTGTAGGTACCTCAATGACAAATAAATACATTTTAAATTTTTATAAAAAAAGGTATTATTTTTTTAATATTAATTAATAAATTAAAAAAAAAGAGTCATTGCGTTTAATTCAGATTTTCAATAATCCAAATACAGTCTGATACTATCTAGTCCAGATCAGTGAGACTCTACTGTTATTCAATAATATACAATATTAATTTTAATATTATCTGCTAAAAGCACCCAGAGTAAACATTTTGGATGTCCAACCAATGTATTTATGTATAATATACATTTATAAATACATATAACTAGATTTTAAATAAATGAAAGTATTTTATTATATAATTTTAGTTCTATATAGTAAGAATTTAGTTCATCTACTCTTTTTTATAGGTACCCATGTAAGTAACTATTATAAATATAAAATGATCAAGACTCGCTCACCGTTACGTACATCAATACTTGGCGGTCATCGGCCAAAACACTCAACAAACGTTCTGTTTGGGTTTTAAAATTTGAATAACTAATAACATGGGAAGAAGCAGGACCACCAGATGAAGTTACCAGATATGCAAAAAGTTTTCGAGCCATTTCAGGATATTGTGGAAATAAGTATCGCTTAAAACATATTAAATTGCATAAAATTAAATTCAATATAAAAATGTATAAATAACTTTTAATTGCATTAAAAACTAATTGGAAAACAAATAAACAAAGATAATAATAAAAATATAAATCATCTAATTATCTAATACTATTTACTTAAATATAAAATTAAAATCTATTAAATATCTACCTTAAACACACCACAACCAATTCCATTAATTGAATCTTCTTCTAAACTTTTTTGAACCAGTAACTGAAACAGTTTAAATTTAAGGTAAGTTATTAAGTGTACACATTAAAATAGTTTATATTAGCTAAGTATAAATAATGCATATTTATGTACCATATAAAATATTTAAAATAAATCTATAAGTAGAAGATAAATAGTTAAGCTACAAAAACTTAATAGTGACATTTTTGCAATTCAAAATTCAAAATGCAATAAATAAAATCCCTACATATAACTTAAGAAAATATTTTATAAGCTTAGTATTAATAGGAAAACAAAATATAAGAATAGGAACCAGAATTGTTGTAATACATTACAAACATAAACTGTCACATTAAAATAAAAAGGTTAACATAAAATATATATTGAGAACAGTTGGACAAAAGATTTCATATCAAATAAGTTTACTAATAATTAACTATAATGTGAATAGTAATAAGTTTTTTTTTTTAATGTAAGTATTGTTATGAACTTTTAGGAATTTAAGTCATGAGAAGTAAGTAATTCAATACTGGATATTTTTTATGATAGGTGTAATTATATTATTTAAATTGATTTGGACCTAATTGACAAGTGTTTCAAAAAATTAAGGCATGTTCCAACTAAATATTATTTAAACTTTGGTAACATAAAATTTGGCATTGTTTTTTGTCAAAATTTGAACAAACTATTTTTAGTTATAATAAATCTAAAATAGTCTATAAAAATATCTGTACTAACTATATTCCATGATTTTCAGACATAAAATTAAAATTTTGAAATTAACTTTAATCAGTCTACCTAGTAATTCATCAAAGTATACCATAAATAAATGTTTTTGAAATACAGAGAGATACATATTAAATCTGGATAAGTGATAAAAAAAAAAAGTTAAATATTATTACCATTTTCTATGGGTACTCAAAAAATACCTGCGGGAAAGAACTCAATAACCCAGAGGTACAGATTTAAAATTGAAGGACTAGTGTCATTACCAAACATGAATTAATAAATGTCAACTTACTAATATGCACTTCTTCAACAGACAATGGTGAGAAAAAAAAGAAATAATGCAATACCTTTCCAAGTTTCTCCATTGGTAGCATGCCAAGCGTCGGATCTTTGTTGAACGAATTCATCCTGGCCGACTGCAATTGTTCTTTGTGATTAAGATTGAAACTATTATGATTGCCCATGTTTAACTTTTTTATTTGTTATTTTTTTTTTTTTTTTTTATTATACGGAGATTGATTTGAAACGAACAAACAACACGTATGTATATAGGTATTCTTAAATTATTGTTTATTATTAACGTAGATGTACGCGAACCCACATAAACGTAGTAGTAGAAGTAATAATAGTAATAATAGGAAGAGGAAGGTGTCGTAAAAGGTATTGTCTATTGTTGTTTAATCAAGAGGGAAAAGGAAAAGGATATGGTAATAACAACTTGAGGCCGTCCGTGTAGCAACCAAGCACCCGGGGGGGGGCCCAAACAATCAAGAGTATTTGTGGCTGAACATTATTTTGTGTGTGCGCGTGTGGTACAGAGCGATTTTGCGCTTATTTTGTTTGTCTTCTTGCCGTGTCACAGTGGAAAAGAACGGCGATGGCGGTGATGGTGGTGTCGAATGCGAGAGCACGAACGAAACGGAATAAACGGAACCGCGAGTGGACGTTAATTATCGTCGTCGTCGCCGCCAAACGTGATAATATGCGCCATCGGTAACGAAAAAAACGAGCACACACACGACGCACGACTAGAAGTTGTCACGGACAGGAGAACGAATGAAGAAAGGAAAATAATGAAAAAAAAAAAAGAGAACGCGGTCCGCGACGGCACTGCACGACGGGCGAGAACAAGTGAGCGACGACGACGGCGGAGGCGAGCAGCAACGGCCTCTGCTGATGGCTTCGGCTATGACATCAAATGAGAACGCTTCAAGTACAACGACAGCCGTACAACCGTATTGGTGACTACGCTTCGGAGTTTGCGTACTCGAACACGATTGAGTATGATCTTACCTACTACCGAAGTACCTTCAATCCCCCTCCCCACCAATATATATATTAATACCGTTGTACAATACACGGTTATAGATAATATTATCTATGACCGTGGTACAATTCCATGGAATCAGGGGCGAATCTAATGCTTGTTTAAGGAGGAAAGGCGAATAGAAAAGACATACAAAGATATTTATGTCTATGGCTAATAGGAATATAATAATATATTGTAATATACAATATATTATTATATTATACAATTATTATAATATATTACTAATATACCCATTGCAAAAATTCGCAATAGATCAATACATAAACATATTTTGACAAATCAATAAATGAGCATAATATCGAAAATTGAAAGACATATCGAAATGACAGAGTGTTTATTAAAATATATGTTCCGCAGCATTAGGATAGACTATGTATGAAAGGGTGTAATTATAATATAAAATCATTTTACAGTGCTTCCTTCCAGACAATATTAGCTAATATAAGTAATAAAATTAGTATTGTTTATGAGTTGTTTTTTGTTATAACACTGGGTAAGAGCCAATAAGAATGCAGTATTTGGGAAAAATTGAAAATAAAGTTAATTGTGCACACATAACTTTCCTCAAACTCAACAAATTTAAGCAGTCAATAGCTCAAAAGAAAGAGCTTGATCCACTAAGTGTTCTGAGAGTGAAACGATCAAGATCCATTCATTAGAAGAGGAGTTATGAGAATTCGAATGTTGCTCGAGTGAATGTATCCCATAAGAAATGTACAGGGAAGAATCGCGTTGGTGGGAGTTGAGTAAATTTTAATGATTGATGACATATCTGTGTCTAAATACCTTTCATTAAAAAAAAAATAAAAATGAAAGAAATCAGCCGGATAGAACGACCAGACGGACTGACTTAATTTTCATACATTTTTTTGATATATAAATGTACTGTACTATTATTTATCATGGAACATGCTACCTATACAAGAATATATTAAGTTTTTGATAGCAAACGTTTATAAATATTTATTTTGTAGAATTGTGTGGTTGGTATACCTGTAACAGAAATATTAAATATGTGATGACAAAAAGCTTAAAGGAGAGGGAGGATTTCCAATCCTTGCAAGGAATATTAGTTTGTTGTCACGATATATCTATCGACATTTCGGTAAATCTTTAATTGTGATTGTTGTTGTTACGATGGTTATTGTGGTGGTACTGTATTGTCAACGTAGGGCTGTTATCACGGCCACTGTCTACCCCACCAGACTGGACAACTGGAATAACGTGATTTTGTTAATTCGAACAAATATTGTAAACCATTCATGCTTGCACATTCTGTTTCACATTTTTCCCATCGAAAAAACTCTGGAAAAAAACTCTGTATTCCTCGACAATCATAATTATCAGTCAGATGAACAAACTGATTTTGCATGTGATTAAAAGTCAAAGAACACCGATTAAAAACAAAATGTGGGATAGAATCATAAAAAAGATATTAAACGATGATTGAATACTGTTTTAAAATGATTTAGTTGCTATGGTGATAACACTTCATGACTATGATAATTGATTTCCATCGTCTAACGCAATGTTTCCCAATATCCATTCTAAGGTATATCTTTAGGCGGCCCATAAATGTCCTTTGAGTTGAGTAAATGACCCTCGAAAAAAAAAAACCTAGTGTAATATAAATAATTACATTAATAATCGTTTTATTATAATGTATCATATACATTAACGCAATATTGCATACCATAACTTATTGATAATAAATTTAAATATATTTTGATAACTAAGATATTTTTCTTGTCATTAGTTTACAAATTGCGATCTATAGGTTGAGAAACTCTGGTCTAGTGCACTTTCAAATTAGTTAATTGATAATTCGAATAACCTAGTACAGCTGCTCTCAAACTGTGGTAAGCTTACCACTAGTGGTACGCGGAAGTTCGAATGGTAGAATAACGGAAATTAAATATTTGATATTTAATTCATAAATTAATATAAAAACACTAATAAACTTGTATTAATAAATAAATAATAATTTTACTGCATTTTTATTTAAAATAAAAGTATTTAACTATGTTAAGTTTTTATGGTTCTATTTTTAATCTTTAATGGTATGTGACTGATAATATACTCAAGTGGAAAAAAAAAAAGTTTGAGAACCGCTGATCTAGTAAGTATCTAATTGATGAAGAACATCGAAATCCAACGGATTAGATATCTGATTAGCAGGCCATACACGGAAAGTTTTTCCGTCAATTTTGGAATGGCATACCAAAGCTGTCGATCAGATCGTCAGTTCCTTTCCGCCGCGGTACAGAAATTTTGATATCCATTCACTGTCATTCCAAATCTACCGAATTACCCCGCCCCCCTTGGAATGTAACGAATAAATATGTAGGTATATGTTCAAAACTGTCAATTTTCCTGCGGTTATGATGTGTTGTTAGATCTTTTGTTATGTTAGAAATATTTTTTGCCATGCCTACGGAACAGTACCTAGTACGTAGTTTGCTTAATAGTGTGTTTCGATATAACTATATATATATAATTAGACTTTATACCTGACTTATCCTCGTAAAATGTATAAAAACAAAAAAAATATTGCAATTATGGTAATATGGAAATAAAGCAAGTACAAATTTTAATTTAAAAAAAAATCAACGACACCATTAGGAGCATAGATAAAAAAATATAATTAGGAGCGTGTTGTTTAGTATTTACAACTAAAATTGTGAACTGTAGACTGTGACCGTCTATACATTTACAAGTCAAATAAATATATTTATCTTCCAAAAATATCTTTAACGATAACGTTCGATTCCTGGTCTGTGATATTTTTATATTTGGTCGGTTAAGGGAAAAATCCGATAGTTAAACCTTCCGTGTATGGCCTGCTATTGATAATCAAAATTATTGAGGAAGAATCAGTGGCGAAGCGTTATATGAGATACGTCTACTAGAGATCAGCACGGGCCGTTTTTTTTTCGACCCGATCCGGCCCAAAACTTAAACTTATAAATTGCCGTCGTCCAGGCCCGGTCCATATTTTATTTTTTTTAAGTCTAGTCCGACCAGGCCCGTTTGTAAATAAAAATATACATCAACTGTATTTCCTTTCAGTATTGACTTAGCAGACAAAAACATTTTATAAAGACAATAAATGTATTAAAAAAAAAATAAAAAAAAATATACTAAATTCTATTAATTTTATTTTATTAATTATTTAAATATAAAATTATTTATAGACTTAGAATACATAATGCTACAAATTAAATTAAATATTTTTGGTTTGATTCGACCCGGCCCAATGAATAATACAGTGAGTTCCGCTTAATGTGATCACTTTGGTGCAGGTCATTTTGATTCCATTAACCGGTTGATTCTAAAAAGCATTACAACAATTTTTTTTATAATTCAATCTTTTAATACAATTATTTATTTATAATTATATATTTAATAATTTCAAATACATATATACATAATTATAATTTTTTAATATCATAATATCATTTAATTTTAATATCATTTTAATATAATTTTTGATAAAATTATTGATTTTTACATTTGTTTTTATTTAATGATTCTACATTTATGCTTGAAATAAAATAAAATAATATTAACATATAAAAATAAAATTAAATAAATGCATTTAAAATAAATTAAAAAAGCCATCTATTTTTGATTGAATTTGACAATCTACCAATTTAGTATTCATATTAGCCTGAAATTAAATTAAATTAAATTAAAAATCATATTCATGTTTTTTATTTATTTGTTTACAATATACAAAGATACAAAGATACAAAGACGTACAAAGATAATTGATTGACATAATGTACAACGATATACAATAATACTGATAAATTCAAAAATAAAATGGTTTTTATAAATTAATCAGTTTGAGATACCATAAAAACAATAAGATTGTTCATAAAAGTGATTCAATTATCCGGTACTTGGTGATACTAATAAAAGGTCAATTTAACATTAGTAGCATACAATTTGGTTTGGGATTTTCATTTTTGATTCTAATAAACGGTTGATTCTATAAACCAGTGATCACATTAAGCGGAACTCACTGTATTACGATCCCACCTATAACCAACCCGTAATATTAAAATTATGGCCCGGCCCGGATCAAGCCCGGTGTGGGTACGGGCCGGGTCGGGCTAGCCCGGCCCGTGCTGATCTCTAATGTCTACCGACTTTTAATACGGACATTGATTAAATATACAAATATAATGTAAATATATAAATATTTTTATTTTAAACAAAACAACTAAAAAACTTACATATCCATCTAAAATTATTGATAATTAATTTTAAAAAGGATGTGGTTTTACACTTTTACAAATTAACAAACACATAGATACATTATTTTATAATCATAAATTTAAGACTAAATATAAAAATTGTTAGTATCATAAATTTAAGTATCACAATTTTAAATAAAAGTATAGTATAGATAATTTAAATATAATTATTACATTTTACGTACTTAAGAGTGACGTTTTACAAGTATTGATCAGTATTACAAAATAAAACGTTTTAAATGTTTGTTTTGTTAAAAATAAATAGTATATTTGAAAACTATTTATATATTGTGATAACGAGTTAATACCCATTTATAACACATATACAGCACATATAATCATAAATAGTAATATCATCGTTTTAATAGACTAAATATGAATTAACCAATGGCAATATTAAAAATCTATTTTAAGATATATCATGAATAACACCTTTTTCATATTTTATACACTATATTTATAAATTGTACACTCACATTATCATACTTAATTCACTCATTGCGTTAAATTTACATATTTGCAATTTTGAATTGTGTTGTTAATACAACATATAACCTTTTTTCGAAAATTGTCTAGTAATTTTGTTTTAGGTAACAGCTAAAATGATCATATATTAATTAAAAAATGCTCAGCCATGTTTAATTTATTTCAATATGAATAAATTCTTAAGATATACTTAGTCAATAGTCGTATTGTAAAGATAAATAAAAGAAAAAAAAAATCTGTTGTACTTTGCAGGATTCGAAAACGGAACCCCTGAGTTCAAAGCCGTATAATGACAACTGAACAACAAAAATAGCACACTCTGATGTCTAGCTCCTATACTACTAGATTTCTAACTCCCCCGGTCGTTTATTGGGAGCTTCCATACATTATCATTATATGGGCTATCTATGCATATTTAATCAATGATATGGATACATAATTTGGTTTTATTATATTTTATCTATTTTTATATAATATATATTTCAATATTTATCATAGTTTTACTTTTGTGCTATACCGTATTAGTATTCTTAAAATAGATTAGTTGCGGACCGTGCACGCGAACTGTCGTCCGTTATGGTGTAGTGGTTAATTCTATAAACATCCAAATACAGGTATAAAAATTAATATTATGAGACGCGTTGCAGAGTCTCGTTTTTCAAGGCACGTTGTGCAGAGGGAATAGATTATTGAGTGGGAATTATCATTGCGCTATGAGACATGTCTCGCGTTTGTATTTATTATTTCATTTTAATATACATTATCGTAATCGTCATTGCTTTTCGCGTTGATGCGTTATCGTTCAACGCAATTTTGTTATCATAGTTATTGGTTTGTTTTTTATTTTACGAATAATTTATTTCTGGTATGATATTCGTATCTAAATATTAAAATATTGTACTATTGTCATTCGCCACAATGTCTGATGAATTAATTAATGAAATGTTGAATGATGGAATAGTAAACTACTCATACGAAAAAAATATGAAATAAAAAATAAAAGACCGTGTCCTATTTATCATAAATATATATAAAGTTATAAATGGTGGGGGGACTGTAACGTATTATTTTAATGTCTCCCCAATTTAAATACTCGTGCTTCGCCACTGGGAAGAATGTTAACAACTTTGGAGTTTTTTACACTGTCCATCACGGGGTGAAAAAAATGTGATCTTCGCTATTACGCTCGCTTAACAATATAAAACTATGCAAATATACATCATAGTACATTATGGGTACATGCAGTTACGTATTGAAAAATATCGTTATGGTACGAAAATTGGAAATATTGGTAAAGTGTACGATGGAAGTTAGAAATTCCAAAAATATACATGTATGAATATCAATATACATACTTTAAGAGTGGCACCGAACTACTTTTTAGTAGATGATGCGAATGCAAATTTCAACCACACACCCTTGCATAGGAACTCACAAAAATATTTCCAAAGTCCAAGGGCATCCATAGGAAAATTCTCAAGGGGGGGGGACAACATTTTAATTTATAAATCTACTCAAAAATAGGAATGACCCACGATATAGGAAGGGGCTTACAATTTTACATTATACTATTACATTATATATATCAAACTGGAAGATTATAAAATAATAATTATTTAATCAATTGACCATAAAAGAAATGTATTGACATTTTTATTTAATTAATAATATAAATTAGACGCTAAAAACATTAGTTATATTTATTAAAATATTAATTTAAAAATCCTTTCCTTATATATATAAAAGAACAGGCCTTTTTTATGTACCAATTTTGTGACGACGCTATTTAACTTTTTTCCAATTTTTTTTCATAGAATTGTTCCAAGTACCTTTCAAAGTGTCACCACGTCACCCGATTTTCAAAATTCTGATTTTAAAGGGTTGAAATCGGTAAAAATAATTTTTTACGTATAATTTGTATATCTATATCATAGAGTAAAGAATCTATATTCATATAATAATAACAATAGCAGTCTACCGATAACGGAAATACAATACGGCACCCCGAGGGTTTCCATCTACCTGGACTCTGACCTTTTTTTTTTGTGCGTGTATTTTATCGGGCGGAACTCTTTTCGCCCAAAAATGACCTTCCTCTTTTTGCCCACGTCCTCTTTTCGACCAAAAATGAAAAAACAGTTTCCTCTTTTCGCCCAAAAATAATTGTATTATTTTCGCCCATAGTTTCACGTTTTACATTTTGGAAACCACTTTCTCAAAATTAATAATTTTTAAAAAATCTTATTTGATATTTGATAAAATCACGTTTTTGATTGTTATTAATATAGTCAGTCGAGAAAAGTGTATAAAGGTGCCGACTCTTTTATCGAAATATATAGTTTAAAACACTTTAATAAACGTTATAATTACTTAAAAGTCATAATTAATATGAATATTTGTTTTATTTTACAACAAAACAAATTATTTATTTAAGTAGTAACCTGATCAAATTACTTATTAGTTATTTTACATCAATAACACTATTTTAAATACTTATTTTTAACACTTATTAAATTATTATTAATAATTATATATTTTTCTATTTTTTTATTTGATTATTATATGATTATTTTAAAAATTATTAATTTTGAGACAGTGGTTTCCAAAATGTAAAACGTGAAACCATGGGCGAAAAGAATACAATTATTTTTGGGCGAAAAGAGGAAACTGTTTTTTCATTTTTGGTCGAAAAGAGGACGTGGGCAAAAAGAGGAAGGTCATTTTTGAGCGAAAGGAGTACCGCCCATTTTATCGGCGTGCTGATGTGAATTGTTCCGAGGCTATATTTATGAGTTGTAAAGAAAACACCAACTAGCTCAATTATACAAATTGCGTTATCCAAAAATAATACATTTCTTATCGAGGAACACGATCTGATCAAATAAATGTCAGCCTAAAGTCATCTACGATTTGGTTGAAAGTCAAAAAATTGTCTCGTACTGTAAATATGCGAACCAAATTGATAGGAGATATACACACAGAAGAGTTTTCTACATTACTCTTAAAAATTGGTAATGGAACTGTAAATGATAAGGATGAGTATATCACAATTGTAAAAAAACTAGCAGTATCGAAAAATTCGTTGGAACAACTCATACAAAATGTGTACCGAGATATTAAAAATTTGAAAAATCTAAGTAATGGATGGTTATGCGAACGCGTTATTTTAACAACCACAAATAACCGTGCTGACTTAATAAACTCGCTAATAATTAGTGGATTTCAAGCCCTAGAAATGGATTACTTTTCTACCTATACAGTTGTTGATAATGAAGAATTGGTAAATTTTCCTACCGAGTTTTTAAATTCACAAACACTATCAGGTATGCCTCCTCATAAAATATCATTGAAGGTGGGAGTTCCAATCATATTATTGATAAATTTGAATTCTCCTAGATTATGTAATGGGACTAGGCTCTGTGTAATCTCTCTTACAAAAAATATAATTGAAGTTGAAATTTTGACCGGATGTGCTAAAGAAGAAAAAATACTTTTACCAAAAATACCATTATACCCCAACGATTTTCCAGTTAAGCTTAGAAGAATTCAATTTCCAATAAAAGTTTATTTTGCAATGACAATAAACAAAGCCCAAGGTCTGACTTTAACTTACTGTGGTGTAGATTTGGAAAATAACTGTTTTTCACATGGGCAATTGTATGTGACATTGTCTAGAGTTGGAAGACCTGACCATTTATACGTTTATGCACCACAAAATAAAATTCGGAATGTGGTATACCAAGAGGTTTTAACTAGAGCAACTACGTAACGAGTCATTTTTAAATACTATTATTATTATTATTGTTATTATTTTTTTTATTTATAATTCAGCTACTACTACTATTAAGTACTTGATAGCATTAAGTAAAATAAATTTTTTTTTCTTCTGTAAAACACACAAATGTGTGTTGATTTAATAATTTAATTTTGAGAAAGTAAAAACTACCCACGGGCGAATCCGGGTAATTCAAATTTACATGAATATGGTTTATCAATTTCATAAATATTTTATGTATTTTTGGTATAGATCATATGTGTGTTTACAAATGATAATTTTAATTTAAACCTGATCATATTGATTAGAACTGCTTCAGTAAGCGCAAACTTTGGCAAAGTACAATTTATAATTAATGTAAAAATACATTACAAAACGCCTAAGATATTAGTTCCAATCTATGAATTGTTAAAAAAAACGGTAACTCATTGATTTGCATATAGATGGCGTTATAAGATACAAATAATTCTAATTTCTTAATTCTAGTTTTGCATATTGTTCATAAATAATAAGTGTTGTAGTAACATAGAATTAATTAATAAACTCTAATCATCAAATTTTACGATTTTATTAAAAGAAACCAGCTGATAATTTCAACTTTTTTAGTTCCTATGATTAATTCTGAATCATTATATGTTGAGTTACGAATTATTTATACACTTGATTACCTAACGTGTTATAAATTAACTACACTCTTAGTATCATTTAGTCATCTATTATTTTCAGTCTTGGTCGGTGTTTATTAATATTCTGTCATTAATTAACAGCATACAATCTTTCGTGTCCTTCCAGTCAACATTTTATATTTTAGATTTTTAATCAAGGACAAACTCGATTTTTAGTAAGAAAAATAATTTAACTACATAATTTTATTAATGAACATTATATTCATAATGCAATACTAGATGTTTAGCTAAGATTAATATTTTTAAATTTACAAATTTAAGAAAGACTTTTTCTAATCAAATTAAAAAGTTATACTTTTTAAGAAAAATGTTATATAAAAAAACGCTTTGATAGTTTATTTAATAATTCACCGAGTTTCGTTTACAAATATTTTAGTATGAATTTGATACAATTTACCATACGATTATTTTCAGATTTTAAATTGAAGTAGGTACTTAGAAAATTCTTATATATCAATGTTAGCGAAGCGATAAGTTTATATCTATTCTGTACTTAATGTTTGACGTATTATGTTAATTGTTGAGAACGTTACGTAACTACTTTTGAACAGATTTTCAATTATATTTTTTATTTTTTATTTCTATATGATAAAAATAGTATGATTAAAATGTACCTAAACCTCCGCTTAAAATTGCAATAACTGAAACAATTACAAATTATGGATCAAATTAAACGTAATTAAAAGTAAACTAAGATATCGATGATTGATAAGCACAACTATGAAAAAAGCTCTACAAAGTTGGTCATTCTATCTTAAAAATATAATGCTTTACAACAGTGGCGTATTTTCAAATTTTTTGTGGGGGATAGGAGGTTTTAAATTTCCAAAAAAGTAATTTTATAATATACAAAAATACATTTAAGGTATGAATTAATAATTATATTATTCATTTTATTATTATTATTATTATAAATACAACCCTTCAGGGGTTACTAAGCAATTAGTACTACGGGTTTGGCGAATCAGAGGACCAGAGCCCCACACTGACTTTAATTATTTGGTGTGGACTGGTTCTCCAGGTTGGTGTTGTGCGTACGGTTGACAATCCTACTACTTAAAAAAAGTAAATGTTAAGAAACTACAACATTATTCTATGTCTGGGATCAAAGAGATAACGGATTTATAATTAGATCTTGGATCGTGCGATCTTTGTTTAAGACTGGAGCTTTGACGATATCTCTATCGTGTCTTGAGCGATACAAGATTAATATAACTGCTATTCAAGAAGTGAGATGAACAAGTTCAAGGAGCTTGAAGTCTCAAGGAATGACTCTATTTTACAGTGGTAGGGACAAACACGAACGAGGTGTAGGGTTTATAGTTAAAGACAATTTACTATCACAAATTACAAATTTCAAACCTATAAATGACTGTCTTACACTGAACTTAAATGTAAGTGGCACAATTTGATCCTAATTAACTGTTATTCACCCACTAAAGATAAAAAATAAGGAGATAAAAAATGAGTTCTATGATAGTTTAGACATGTTATACGATTCTTTACCAGCTGATAAACCGAAAATAGTGATCGGAGATTTTAATGCAAAAATTGGAAAGGAAACGATATATAAATCAACAATTGGATCTGAAAGCTTACATGAAGAATTTAATGATAATGGTTATAAGTTGATCTCATAAGTTCCACATGTTTCCCGCACAAGAATATACATAAACAAACATGGATTTCGCCATGTGGATATGTAAAAAATACAAATAAACCACATAATAGGGATGTAAGAAGAATGAAAGGGAGTAGCCCTTTGTCGGATCATTTCCTCGTAAGAGCAAAAATAAATATCAGAATATCAACAGAGTGGCGAAAGAAACAGAAACACAAGGGAAAAATAGATAGAGATACACTGAAAACATCAACAACTAAAGTATTTCAAGAAAATTTAATGTCGAAATTACAGAAAATACAAGAAAGATCAAATATAAGTAAAACATGGAAAAAAAGTAGAACAGTAAAAACCATAGCTGAAGAAGTACTTGGGTACATACCAAAAAAAAAACAAGGAAAATGTGGTTCAATGAAGAATGTAAAAGAGTTTTACATGAAAAAATAGAGCCCACATGAAAGTACTACATTAACCAAATGAAGATAATAAAAGATTGTTAGTACTTAAACAAAGAGAGGTAAAAGAAGTGATTAGATTGAATAAGAGACTATGGAAAAAGAACGCAAACAAAGTAATAGAAATAGAAAATACATATATATATATATATATATATATAAATACAAAATATTTTTTGGAAAAGCAAATGAAATAAGATATGGATACAAACTCAGATAAATGGTTATGAGAAAAAGTTTTGAAATCTTTCTAACAGGCAACAAAGAAATCGCATGCAAATTCAAAGATATGTTTGCAAAGCTTTTGAACCAACCAATAATTAATATCACTGTAGACGAACTAACGATAATAAAACAATTACTCGATACTCCGTCAAAAAATGAAGTAGAAACGAGATTAAATATGCTTAAGTATGGTAAAGCACCAGGTGATTATAAGATTCTGCCTAATATTTTTCTGATCAAAATCAATCCATATATTAAAGAAATAATAGGAGGATATCAAGCTGGGTTCATAATAGGAAGATCAACAGTTAATCAAAACCACATCACCAAACAATTAGCTGAGATGAATCGTGAGTTCAATAAAGATATACACCTTATGTTCATAAATTACTAAGTAGCATACGATTCGATTAATAGGGAAAAACGAAAAAATGTCATGAACAAAATAGGAATACCAGCAGTGGCGGCGCCAGAATTTTAATACCAGGTGGGCCATGCTGGGGCCAAAATTTTTTAGGGAGGGCCAAATTGTTGTTATATATATAAAACAATAGTGATGACAGGAAATTGTGCAGAGGGGGAGGGGGAAGATCAACTTTCAATTTTTCAATTTTTTTCACACTTCATCGTGTAACTTACTAAAACAATGATTTGTAAACATGTATTAATAGTATTTATTTCCTAACAAAATACATATTCATGTAAACACTTTTTAATTTTTATACTCCCTAACCAAAAATTACCCTCAAAACCAATTACACCATCAGGCATCAATTGTAGTACAATTGAGTTTCTGTAACTATAAAAACATAACTACAAGTATCTTAAACTGACAATAAACATTATATTATGTTATAATACTAATTCAAATAAACAATTCAACGAACATATCTTATTATATAAAAAAAAACAATATAAATATAATATTTTAAGATAAAATAAAAAAAAAACTGTGTTTAAAGATTAAATTGAACAATTAAAAACTTTTAATATTAATTATTTGTTTACTTAATAAAAATTAATTGGAAATAATAAAAACGATAAGATAATAATATATTATATAAGTACCTGTATAACACATGTAAGTAAGTTAAAAAAAACAGCAATAAAATACATAATAATATAAATAATTCATTTTAATAAATTTTTTCTATTGTTATGACGTTCAGCAAAAATATTAATTATATCCTCAATATTTAATGATTTTGCTTCAGATTTTTCTATAGCAATTATGCTTAAGCTAGATAGATTGTTGTGAAGCATAGAATTTCTCAAATATGATTTAATTCTTTTCATACATGAAAAAATTCTTTCACATGTTGCTGAAGATACAGGTATTGTAATTGCAATAGTACATAACTTGTACAATTCAAAAAATGCTAGTTGATAATCCAATAAAAATTTATGAAATTGAAAAATAGTTTTTATTTTAAACTAGTAGATGGTCAGTAGTTCTGACACTTTCCTGTGTCTGCAACTAGGATACTTCCATGTGGTGATGGTGGGCAACAGATACTTTTTTCTTTATTCTGGTAAAGTAACTGGGTAAATGCGTGGAAGCCGTTATGGCAGACACAAGAAAAAAAAGCTATTAATTTGAAACCTCAGTATTGACCTTGAAAAGAGAAACGAAAATCAGATGAAATAAGTGTAAGAGGGACCTATTGAGAAAGTGCTTCAAAGATAAAAGACAGCGTTATAGAAACCATGATAAAGAGAAAAAAGTGAATGTCACAGATCAGTCAAAGTGATATTTCAAACGGGTATGATCAAAAAAGTAAATAGATATAATTCATCGTTTTTTGACCGATTAGTAGAGAATTCCCTCTAGGAATATTTTTAAATATTTTAGGGACTTTTCGGCTGCTAGGGGGAAAACTGGTCGAGCTTTAATTTGTCTGAGGCCAGATTCAGATTTAGAGTCCAAAAATATATACGGGTAGGGTTATCTAGTCTCTGATCCATTTTTTTTTGTGTGGATGTGTTATTAATATTGAAAAGATATAGGTATTTAAAATCTCACATTACCGTTTAAATTCCTCCAATTTAAATCTTCAAATATAATTCTGCGAAGAGGTATTTATGGACAAATAATTTTTAAGTTATGCAACTATAATAAACTTTGCCGTGATTATTAATTAATACAGATAAATGGTTTGATATTTTTAAAACTGATACGATCAAATATATCAATGTAATGTGCCTCGTTCTTGACACAGAGGAGGATCTAGGGGAAGGGGTCAGGAGGTCAACTGACCCACAGTTAATATTTGTTGACAAAATTGGCCTCTTGGAAATTTTTTTCTCTTTTTAGACCTTGATTTGGACTCTTGGACAGTTAGCCCATCGGAGTTACTTGAAAAATGAATGCCATGTATATTCAAAATTTAAAATTTTTCAATTTATAATTTATATTTTAAATTATATCGTTTTAGTACAAAGTTAAGTAAATCATATTTTATTCCATACGTTTGTTGCGCTGATAATATTAAATTATATTTTTTATTGTAAATAAGTCATTATCGGAGGTATCACTAATTCTAAAATGTAATATAAATATACTAATACACTTTTATGAGCATATTGTGTTTTTTTTTTTACAAGGTTTTCATTTCTAATTCAGTTTCATCTCTAATAAATGGTCTCTTGAAATGGTTTGATCCACAGTTCTCCGACTCTGGATCCGTCTCTGTCTTAACATACTCGTAGAACGAGTAGTTAACGTCATATAAACCGTCATTTTCAAACACTTATGGTCTTCTCCGTAATAACTCTTTCTTTGTGTTAGAGTAGTAATAAGAAAGTTCAAGAGTATTTGTTTACTGCTTCGATAGTTTCTCAAGTTTTTAATAGAAACGCTTTACTAAATACGTTGAGTAGACAAGAATTTTAAAACTTAATTAGCTCATTATTAGCTTCATTCAAATAGCTCCTTATTTTAAGTAGAACCAATTAAAGTAAAAACCATTTATTTATATAAACCTATCTTTGGAAAAATGGCAATTTTTGAAGAACATGCTGGTTGTGAAAAATGTAATTTTACTTAAATTATAAAAATGTTTTTGTCCCAAAATATGGATTATCTTCTGACCATCTGATTCACGATTTAATTTTTTTGTATATATCTGATGATGAATTTTTAATTGAAAACCGATTGTACTTATCAAATATAACAATACTCCAGTTTAAGCTTTTATTTATTTATATAGTGGCGTATACAGGATTTTTTCAAGGGGGGTGTCATAATATGCATGAATTTATGACCATTTTTTTTTTTTGCCCATCACTAAAAAATCTACTCTCCCTACTATTTTATAATAATATAATCTATATGAATAAAATAAATAAATAAATGTATAATAAAATGTAATAAAATAAATGTATTATGAAATAAGAGAAAACATTAAGGTACATATACAATGTATATTATTATACATATAATCATAAAATAAATATAGTTTACACAGTTATGAAATAAAGTCAGTATAACGGTTTTGTTTTGCCAATGTTTTAATAACCTAATCAACTTCAACTTCAACATCACCTTCACAATGATTATTTAGAACTACTAAACCATTAAGCCTAAAATAGTTAACAGAATTTGAAGTTCAATCTTCTTTCTTTTTAATGTGGAAGAACTCCTTTCTGGTTCACTCGATGTAACAAGTAGTATTGCAAAATTATGAAGTGGTTTGTATACATTTGGAAAGAGGTCTTTATTGCACTTATCAAGAGCATCTAAACTCTAGAAGAACATATACACTTAATTTTTGTAAATGTGTACGTTAAAGCTTTAACTTTACTTCAAAAATGTTTTGATCAATATCATCTAAATAAAATTCACTTAAATCTTTGATTACTTTATTATCATAAGTTTCATTATAAATTAGAAAACAAAAGCCAGATATAGTTTTTTTTGTAGTTCAAAAATCGTTCTTTTAACTATTGAACTAAGTTGTCCACCATTGGAACGACTATAATAATTTTAAATAAAAAAATTGTTAAGACCAACTATACAGCAATTTGATCTATGTTTTTGTAGTTTAATCTTTTATGTTAATATTTTTTGATAATGATCAGTTTTATCAGGAATATATCCTTTTTTTTAGTCATCGTTTCATAATTTGAAAAGATACTTTGAACTTTGAATATAAATTATTTGTTTATTCATTTATATATTTATTTTCAAGTATTAAAAATTTAATAATTTTTAATTTTAATTAATTTTTTTTATTATTTTATTATTAATACATTTTTTTTTATTTACATAAAATGCATGAATTAATCGAACAAAAATATATTATTATATAATACCTATATTTAAATATAATATATAAATAATAATAAATATATCAAAAAATATATTTCAATTAATATATAAAAAATATATAATAATATATATTATCCAATATATTCAAATTATTTAAGTATAATACCTTAATAAATACGAAAAATAATTATTGTTAAATTGTATTATCTGTGTGTATGAATATTAAGCCATCATAAATGTTATTCGAAAAATGTTAGATCAAATATTGAAATATATAATCAAAAATTCAAATTCATTTTATATTAAAATTCCAAAACAGAAAATTACTTATCTTATAAATCAATATAAAAAAGTCACTACGGTGCAATTCAAACATTTAGTATCGATTTTTTTATTCTTATTATTTGTACTATTTGGTTTTCTTCTTAAACAGTAACATAAATATACAAATCTATTTCCCGATTAATAAAACGTACTTAAAATAACGGCACAAAATATAATATTGTTAATAGTCCCGTTATGTATATAAAAATATGTATTAAGATAATCAATATTTCATTATGGACAATGGAGCTCTGTGGGATATTATTAAACAAACTAACAAGCTGGTCAAATTATAAATGATTCATCAATAGGTGTATTTCATTTATAGTAATGTATAAGATATACATAGATAAAATAATTCTAATACGATTATATTGTACCTATATAGTTGACTAAAACTACAATGAATTATTTCTATTGTTAAGTTTAAAAATGGGAGTTTAACTTTTGAACTCTTTATATTATGATTTCAATCTTATATGTGGTATTATCGAAATTAAATCTTAAATCAAATCTTACAATATTTAAATAATATTTTAAAATAGTTAACGATGTACCAAAAAAATTTTTTCCTTAAAAAGTATATCTTGATTATCAATTGAATGCTAACGTTTATAAATAGGAACCTATCTAATTATTTAAATATTTAAAAGATATAATTAAATTGACACACAGTTAAGTAAATTACATAATTAAAAATTGTAAGAAATATTACAATAGTAGATTATATTAAGAGATAACTATTTAATATTATTATTTATATTAACTATTTGAAAACCTTTTAGGATATGTAACTAATTATAAATATTTCTGAAAAAAAATTTACACTCAAAATGCAATAGTGACATCAACGCCAATTCACCTATATTGAAATTCTATGAAGCAAAACTAAATATTTAATTCAAAAATCAATTATTTTTTAAATCTCTGTATTAAAGTCAATAAAAATTTAAATTATGTTAGACAATTATCAAATAAGTAAAATACAAAGTTGTCTATAATGTATTCATATTTTTTTTTTTTTTGTACGCCACTACTCAGAAACCATATTGTGTATAATTTTTTTACATTTTTGACCTACAAATTTTCCCATTTCTAGAAATCCTTTATATTGCTACCTATTGAGTACAAAATTCAATACTATATTATATTATGATAAGCGAAGCAATTTAAGATTCCTCAATTGTCCCGTATTAACTTCCAGAACTACGTACATAATTTTCGGTGTCAGTGTAGCGTGCGATCTACCACTTACATGTGCTCTACCTGTGATCTACACATTACTATCCAGTTCTTTATTGGTAATTTATCGTTAACGATAAAAAAATATCAATATTAAAAAAAAAAAGAGGCGTACCTATCTATATGCTTATATATATATATATATATATATATATATAAATTATATGCGTGCTATATTCATAAATAGCGACTAACTTTTATTTTTTATATTATTATTATTATTTTATATTATGTGTATGTGATTTTGAAATTGTGATTTTTAAAACGAAACTTTTATTTGAAATATTTATTTAACGAAACTTATATTATGTAGATGTGATTTTTAAATTGTAATTTTTGAAATACGTGTGAGCCCACCTCCTCGTGATGTATTTTGGGTAATTCTAAGCAGCTTACAAATCGTGTTCACCAAAAAACAGACTGGTAGATCACACGCTATACCAGAAACGAACTGGCACCTAATTTTCATTCATACTGACCAGTAATCATAAATTCATACTTAATAACTATTCATATAATTTATTTATTTTTCTGTTAAAGTTGAGTCGAGATTTATTTATATGTTGGATTATTCGTTTATTATTCATAAATTTTATTTATTGAAATATCGATTTCACATTCATTTATTGGCTTATACAAGTGAATATTTCAATTACATTAAATATATATTATGACAAATCTAAAAAATGTTTCACCTCATTTTAAAACACACTCAATCGTGAACTTATGAACTCCGACGAATTTAATTAGAAATAAAAAAATTAGTATGAACAAGTATTAGTAAAAAAAACAACTAGTATTATAGAAAAAAAAATTATATTTTTAGTTTACTATGTATAAAACAGTATTTACCGTAAAATATAAACAGTTTAACACAAAATATTTAAAATATGTACATATATTTCAAAAATAATATGTTGACTTACGACTGTGATTGAAATACATTTATAACAGAAAAAAAGTTATAATATTTTATACACATGAACATTTATATAATGTAACAATATGACATTTATTTTTTTTATTTTTTAGTTTGTGTTAGAACAATTTCCGTAGTCGTTACCAATATTAGTTTATAAATGGTAACTATTATATGCCATAAACAATACATCATGTCTATTTTGTAATACATTAAAATAGAAGTACATTATTATTATTATTGTCATTATTATTTATGCTACAAATTACAAAGCAGTTGACTCGGGACCCTCCTTTCTGCGCTGGGTACACACCTGACGTGGTCATACTGTCTGCTGCCGCACCGCAGCACAGCGCACTGCGCTGGCGAATCTGCGAAATCCAATCGAGCCGATGACCGCGCGCGCGAACTGAACTGATCGCAGTGCATTGCAGCCCGTCGTCCGACCGTGTTGTCCCGTATGTGTTCTATATTTAATTAATTGCATATCTTTATATTTAGTATTTCGATTTTAATTTTTATAGTTTTTTTATTTTTATTATACGCCAAATTTCCCCGAAAGTATTTTGATTTTGGGGAAATTTTAAATAAGAACTAACGTGCATGCAAATGGTATCACATCTTTGTCGGTAAGTACTCTTGTATTATTATATTATAATCCCACGAAATCGCAAGATATTTAAATATTTTACAATGGTAGTAACCTTTGTATTTATATTATATACTTCCATTACTAAACTATTTTAATGATCGCTTTTAAAAGTACGCACCTTTTTTTATTTTAGATACATATTAAATTATACCTAAATAATTGTTTAAAAGTTACCCAGAGCTAATTGTGCAAGAAAATGTATTATCATTATCTATTAAAACGTACAAAAAGTATTAACATTTTAAATTCAAATATTATTAGTAATATGTGCTAACCTAATTTGAAGTATCTAACTTGATTAATAAATAATATGGTCTAAAATAAAATTGAATTATATTTTGTTTTTTTTTTCAAGTATAAATTTATGTTCAAAGAACTATAAAAATATAATAAAGTTTTTAATGCATTAAATATATTTTTAATTTTGATATGTATAATATTTTTAATAATTTAATTTGAAGTACAATATAAATTATTATATAAATATATATATATATATATGGTTAAAGGTTAATTTAGGTTAAACGCCGTTTAGGTCATTAATAGAAGAAAAAACTAGACGCGCATAGAACCGCTATATTCATTTTACTACAGGTTCATTCAACTCAATTTTTTCGGTCGTTACTCTATTACCTAATAATAAAGATAAAACGTGTATAATGTTAGATACAGAGTTAGATACTAAACTATTGATACAATTGGTATAATGAAAATAAACTTTTATGTTCACTATGGTTTAAAAATTGCTGTAGATCTCGAATAAGTTTAATTTTTAGGTGTCTGATATATTAAAATAGATATCAATTTAATAATAATTAAAAAAAAATCATTTTGACTTATAAATGGAACTTGATATATTATGTTTTTTAGTTATGAAGGAACACCGAACCAAAGGACTTAGAGTCACAACTACTGAAAGCATAATTAGGTGAGTTAATAATAAATGTATATTAGCTATTAGAATAGTTTTAACATAAAACAAGTACAATTTTTACTTATTTTATAAGTTACAAGTATAAAGTTCGTTTATTGTAGACAACCATAAAATTAATAATACTGTAAAAAAACTACACAATAATACTGCATATAATACATTGTTTCTGCCTTCTAAAACCTTTTTTATGTAGGTACCTATGAACATATAAGATTATAGTAGGCTTTTGAATTTTGAATTTGTTTATTTATAAACATTAATTATAATATCAATCATAATATAGAGTATAATATAAATGTATTTAATAATTCTAAGATTTTTTAAATTGTAAAATATGATTTTGTACTTAATAAACTTAAGAAGTAAATGTATTGAGTTGTTAAAATTAAATGAACTAATCACGGACTACGGGCTCAATCATGCGGGTTACGACTGTCCAATATTTAAAATTATATGAATGTTTATGATTTCCGGCATGAATCCATAATATCCTTTTTGAGTCTAAAATTTGTTAAGATAGTTGTGGTTCGCAAAAACAATACACTTTTGTAAACTATACCACAAATTGAATTGCTTTGAACTTTTAGCATTCAATAATGTTGAATCAATACCAATAAAATATTATCGTGTGATATTGTACTTCATTTGACGTATTATAGACATGGGGACGGGGTGCAATAGTGTGATGAACAGCAGTTAACAGCGCAATAACTGTAAACTATGAAGTGTAAAAACCTATCTAATGATTGTAACTTCCCGTACCTAATAGACACGTTTGTTACTGGAAACAGCCGGGCGGTGGCGGAAACATTATCGGAGGAGAGCGCCGTTACCGGAACAGGTAGTACGGGAACAGGTTAATCGCCATCACACAATTGTTCATAAACCTTCAATTTCGATAGCTCTGACGACCCTCTCCTCTCTCTCTAGCTCGTACCGCCCCGCCGCCCGAGAAACTGGTGCTGGTGCGTCTGCGAGACATTGATCGTATTCCTGTGTCGTCATACTTGCTCTCTCGCACTCTATCTCTCTCTCTCTCTCTCTCTCTCCCTCTCTCTCTTTCTCCTTCCCTCATACGCTCTCTACTACTCCTTCTCACTCCCTCATACGTTTTCCGCTCATATTTTTTTCTCTCTTATTATTCACCATTAGCCCGATTGAGTATATAACGGATCATCCAACGCTTCAAGTACAGTTATCACGAACAAACGCGTTCGCGGACTCATCATTTAATTACGGCACTCCTTGTTTTTTTTTCTTCGCATAAGGTTGTAGACAACTTTTCTTTAACTCTTTTAAGCTCAATGGTTATTAAACTATCTAAAAATATATTTCGTTTAATTCATTATTGGCTAGGTATTTGAATAATAGTGTATAACATACATTTTTATTTGTTAAATTCTATACTTTCATATTATTTGTTCACACGTACTATATGCTCGGTTATTATAATAGAGACCCATTTAGTGATGTTTGTAAGCAATCCCACGCAATTTCGCATTCTTTAGAGTCTAGCCTTAACACAATGAATAGCTCCTCAGAGTTCATATTTAGCATGTTAGCATTATCTACAACGATAAAAATACTGTGTGGTTTATCTTACACAGTATAATACTTTATTGTTTACAAAATATTTATCAACGAGTAAACGTATGATGTATTATTTTCAAAATATTATTATTATACTTTATAATAAAGCGGTGTAATTAAATAAGCCATACAAAATAATTATAAGCTAAAATAAAAAATAAAAAAGTGTTTGACAAAAGTGTGAAAGAAATGTCAAGAGTATCCTCTTTTTATAATCACATAATATTGTATATTTACCTAATTTATCTTAAACGACTTATATAATATTATATTTCAAATTATTTACATACAAATTCAAACAATATTGTGCAAATAACTCAACACATAAATAAAAAAATGTTTTTTTTTTTTAATTTTTCATCAGTTTAAAATACTATTTTTTAATACTTATTAAATATTTTAAACAGTTATGAAAATATACAAATATTTCAGAAATTTATTGAAAATCAACTAGCTTATATAATTTGATTCTTAATCTTAATTATAATTTTATTTTTAAATCTCAAATATTAATCGTAGAATATTATAATAGTAGTTTTTTAAATAATATTTAATAATATTTTGAAAAACATATGAAAAAATTATAAATTATGATAATATGCATGCATTATATTGTGATAAATAATGGTGTATAATGGGTACACGATTTCAGCTTGCAAGAGTTTGATCATTATACCAGTCTTCGACCTATAGAATGTCATCATCACTACTTACTAGAAAAAATACTACAATCTTAGTATACATACATGTAGTATAAATTCACGGCTAGGAATTCATTTTTGTATAATAATCTATATGATTTGAAAATGATAATTTATGTCGTATCACTGTTGAATTATTTTCTAACAAAATTGCGTATATTACATTTAAGGTTCCAATAAATAAAATGAAATATTGTTAATTTTTATATTTTAAGAATATAGATAAATTGCCGTTCTGTCAATATAATTGTATTTTATTTCATAAAAATATTTTCTTCCTTATGTTTATTTATAGGTTACATACATACCAACATTGTCATGTTCTGACATATGATTTTTTTTTAGACAGTAGTCTAAAATTTAGGTGTGGGGGCATCGTGGAGTTCTAGATTGCATTCATAGTTCAATTTTAGTTTAAAATGTTTGTTAAATTTAGGGACCATTTCAATTTTATTATTTATATGAATTGGACTAGTGCTTCGATGGGTTATTATTTTAAATTTGCTTCAAGTCTAAAAAATGGTTGGCATACCACTAACTGTAATAAATAATAACATATACTACTTATAATATAATTGGGCCTCTTAGTAATAAATGTTCACTGTTATTAAACATATGTACCAGATACACTATTTAACATTTCATCTGTTATGCATATAAACAGAGATCTCAGAAAAGGAGTTATTTTTACGGCCAACATTTCAAAACATTTATAAACCATACTCGTATATTATACCTTTTTCTGAATATTAACATTGTTTTAAAGTATATTTAATTAACATAGACATTTTTAAAATTCATTGATACTTTTTAAATTGAATTTGATACTTTTAATTAACAATAAAAAAAAAGTATTTTATTTTTGATTTTGTAACTACTTGAATTAAAATAGCTCATCAATGCTTAATATATTTTTTACATTTATATTTAATTAGAATTTTGTGTACAACTATATACTAATCAAATACTAAAGGAATTATTATAGACTATTAGTAAGGAATAAATTTATTTATAAATTTCAATTTTGGTATATCATATAGCAGTGGTGGCCAAATTACGGCCCTCCATCATTTAATATCTGGCCCACGAAAGTTTCCTATATTACAGCACTTATTTGTATAACTGTAATATTTTGCATTTACGTAAAAAAAAAATTTAGAATGCATTTTTTTATGGCCCGCGATAAAAACAAAATTGTTTTTTATGGCCCGACGAAAAAAAAGTTTGACCACCACTGTCATATAGAGTTAGTGACAACATTTCATTTTAGAAGAATATATGCACATTCAATCCCCATTAATAGTAATAATTATTTAGCATGTTGTAGATTTTTGATTTGCACGTTCCAGTACAATCAACCGGGATTTTTAACAAGATTTTTTTACTTTTTTTTTCTTTTTATTACCGATGTCAAGAAGTTGTCAACCCGGATATGGTTTATATTAATCAATTCTCTTTTTCTTTTTTTTTTTATCAACTAATATTTGAAAAAAAAAATAAAGAATGAAAAAACACTTTTCTGACTAAACGTATGGCAAAAAAAAAAAAAAACAAAGCGATCGTTGACGCGATGATATAGCAACACGGCAATAATAATATTATAGTAACGGAACACGGAGGCAGATCATTGACCCACGATGTAGGTACTTGGCGCGGTCGGTCACTATCCTCCACTCCTAGAAATACGATTTTGCCAAGATACAATGTACAACTTTCTTCTTATCTCAAAATAAGTTTAGAAAAATTCAAAAACAAGTTTGTATTTTCATAAAAAACCTTTTTAAATTAGTCATTTCATAATTAAATGTTCCCGGTTTTTGTTTTTAAATACTGAACATATTAAGTAGGTACCTAATCATTTAAATTATTGTATTCGTGTTTATAAGGCCTAACACATAAATGTTTCAGGGCTCATCAGAACGGAATGTAAAATAAATATTTTAAAATTTATGTGTTTTGTGAATGAATCTTTTTATAAATATAGATTTTCAAATACTCCTGAATTATATTATTTTATAATCATTTTCTACGTATGAAAATTCTGTAATTTTTTTAAAAAATATCAAATGCATCATTAACATAAAATAACGTTTTTAATAGTATGAAATAGATTATTATTTGAATTACTATTTAAAATTAACATACATTTTAAAGTTTTTATTTATATATTAGTTAAGTATTATATTTTCAACATTTTCTTGTTTATTATTTATTTAATAGATTGAAATATTTTAGTTCTATAATATATTTTTTCTATATCAAAATTATTTTTTTGTTAAATTAACAGGAGTTATTTTTAATACAGTCCTTTTATGATTTAAAAATAAATAGATTTGTTGTATACACGAAAAAGTGATTTAAAACTAAATAAATTATAGACAATAAATTAGAAAAAGTTTGTTTTGTTGAAGATCAATTTTTAATGAATAAATATGTTTGTTCATGTATATACACATATGTACATACATGTATTTATTATTTTATATTATTAAATTTATAATTTATTATTTAAATTCAATACTTATTTTTCATATTTTAAAAATATTTACCGAGTATTTTTTAGTACTTTAGTAACACTATAGACATTTAATAAATCGAAATAAGTTTGGCTTTAATGTAATCTTGACATAAAATCAAATCATTACTTTTAGATAACAAATAACAAAGTGTGTCTCGAAGTGAGCAAAGCAAAACTAATTAATT